GGCGTTGCTTCCCAGAGAAGATTTGGGGGGGGGGGGGGGGGGTTGTTGTTGGGGCTGGTGCAGTGGTGCTGATGCTGGTGTTGCTGTTGTTGTTTTGTTTTGCTTGCGCGCGCTGTCCTTGCCTGCCTGCGCTGCGCTGCTACAGCGGCGGGCTGAGGGGATTTTTCACACAAGAAAAATGGCTCGCCGGCTTTGCGGCGCTGGCTGCTTCTTCTGGTGCCAACTGCGCCAACTGCTGAAATCAGGACAGGGATGGTCCTCGCCCCGTCTCTTGTTGGTTCATCCGTTCTCCGTTCCCCCCCATTCTTGCCAGCGAAAGCAAGGATGGCATGGAATGGGTTGTTTGAAAGAAGATCGGATCTCGCAAGGTGTGGGGTCAAGGATCAGCCCTTCGGTCCCGATCGGTTTCCCTGGTTTCTTGTCTTGAGAGCCCGTCCCTCTTATTAAAACCGTTCGATTAAGGACCGGGAATCAGGCAATCCTTTTCTCCATGCAAGTACGTGTAAGGCGGGAACACACCCATCACGGATCTTTCTCCGCAAACTTGCAACGGCAAGCTCCATTTCGAGGCTCGGGGTTCTGGACGGATTGGGATTGTTTGCTTGCTGCTGTGCAAGAAACTTGGAGGGTAAGCTTTGCCGAGGAACACCCCTGTGAGCGCCGTCAAGCTGTCAGCAGATTCCTCGAAAGGCTCAAACTGCCCGAGTCTGACCCTCCGAAACCACCTTGATGATTACCATAAATTTGGTATTACCCCGGGAAAGGAGCGGCGAGCAAATAAAGGTTTTGTCATTTTCCATGTGGACATCAAATCAAGGGGAAAGGGTTGGGGGTGGTCCGTCCGCTCAAGTCAGACGCTGCCCGTATGCATGCTGTGTATGGTGCGCAAGAATGACGGCGGTCCTTCCGAACTGCAATTGTTGCCTTGATTTGATGAATGCCCTCTTCTTCAAAGAAGGCCTATATTTTGCCACGGATAATCCCAATCCCTAGCCCTCAATTTCGCCATCTCTACCCCCTCGCCCTGATATTTCTTCCGTTCACTGATCCTCTCAGCCGCTGGGCCGGCGCCCGCGAGGAAGCCAAATCGTACGAGAGTGTCGTTTGCTAGTTTACCTGGCTCATGGCCGTTTGTTCGTCCGAAGTTCTTAGAACAACTCGAACCCAGCCTCTTTCAGCTCCTTCCCCGTGGGGCAGCATGGGACGACCCTGCATCGGGAACGGCCAAAACAACGGGTTCTCCAGCGCGTCGGCCAGGTCGGCGGCGTGGGTGGGCCTGCTGCCGGGCCTCGAGTCTGCGCCCAACCCCGATGCCGTGCCACTGCCCCACGTGGAGTTGAAGTCAGACTCTAGGAAGTTGGGGGCAAACAAATTGAGGCTGGTCGTCACTGGCCGCGTGGACTTGTCTATTTCCGCTAAGGTCACCTCGCGGGGCTCGTCGCCGATCGTAGTCTTGATCTCGACGTCAATGTTCCACTTCTTGGCTAAGAATGTTAAGATATTCAGTGCTTGTTCTGCAAAATGATGACAGGGAGCCATCTCGGTGAGGTCCGCGATGCCCCGACTAAGGGCGTCGATAACGTGGGGATTCAGCGCGGCTGCTCCTCGAGTGCCCTGGCCGCTCTGCGCTGCCTCCCCGCTTTTGGCCGATCGAGAGCTTGCACCTGCAGCGGCTATCGCGAGATGCATGATCGACGATGTGAGGACGAAATATGGGACAAACGACGGGGTCCGTCTTAATGTGTAAAGCTGCGCATACGAGCGCAAGAGACCAGTGATGGCATCGGCTGCCTGGGAACAGACATCGCGCGGAGATATGCTAGACCCGATAATCCGGAGTTTAATCAAGGGGCGAAATAGGAGGAGTATGGCAAAGTGATAGTACATACTATCGCACTGTTAGCTTTCGGGTCAACCTTTTTTGAGACAAGGGTGCCCTCCACCGCACAAGGTCAGCGGTGTTGGGAAACGTACTGCGCAAACAGGACGGCCGGGGTGAAGTTGTGGCCTAGTCGTAGCACTTCCGGTATCTTGTCGTACCAGTTGAGATATTGCGTGTAAATCGTAAGCAGGTCTCGACTTGTGAGTGGCCGTCCAGGCGAATGAAGAATGTATAACGACTGATGAACAAGCTCGCTGAGTTCACAAAAGCATTTATACACTGAGCGTACATTGGACGGCTGCTCACAGGACCGCTGGAGTGGCGCACCTGGTGATCCGCTCAGTTCCGGTAGGAGGGGCATCTGAAAAGGGGCGTGTTTACCGTCATCCGTATACGGAATCCACACCGATGCCTCGATATCATCTATTATCGTAGGCTTCGGCGGGAGACGAGGGAAACACGAGCACTGGGGAAGCGAGCCGGTTGCCAATGACCATGCGCTAGCCACCAGTTAGAAATTTGAAGCACGAAGCCGGGAATTCTGACGTTGCTTACTGGTCTAGGGCGAAAGCCCCCCAAAAGGTAGCCGCTTGGACTGCGCTTTCATCATCGTCTTTGCCATCGTCCTGCAGTCGATGTAGACCCATCTCGATGGCCAACCGGATGCTCTGACCGGCGTAGTACCAGCTCTCCGAGTCCCTCCCGCAGCTCGCTTCTCTTATAGACATTATCCCTAGGGCCTGAATGGTAGTGAGTTTGTGATGGTTCTGTTCCTGGTAATACAACCGCTGACACTCCTTGAAGAAGTGGTCCCCCGACGTGTGCGGGTCGTCTGGATTAGATCGTGTGTTCGGTTGGCTCGAGAACCGGCACCCCAAGGCAAGCAACGCATTGACTAGGATGGAGGAGCAAAACCGGGGTCTCCCTTCCATGAAATCCTTGAGGAAATGCTCCTTGCTGAGCGAGGCGAAGGTTGGATACTCCCAGCAGAAATAGAGAGCCAGCAGATGTTGCACCAACCCTGGATCACTAGTTATGGTTGTCCATGTTCCCGGAGGAACCTGCATTTCAGGGACGTCCGGAAGCAGGATATCCCCATAGCCGCGCCCTCTTTGTGACTGCGAATCGTCTCCTTGACTCTCAACCCATGACCCGACTCGCGACTGGGCGGTTCTGACAACCTCCGGGTTCCAGTTCGCTGTGTCCGGATGGGAGCCAGTCGGTGTCGGATTGCTCTGATTGGAGAAGTGGCCTCCCCAAGGACTTTGATGGTGATCCGTGTCGGACCGGATGCGGTGCTGCTGCGGCTGCTGTTGTTGCTGCTGTTGCTGCGGTTGCTGCGGTTGCTGTTGCTGCTGTTGTTGTTGCTGATGGCCGAGAATTGGGCTAAGTCCGCTGGGGCCGGGTAGGAGCGGTGCGTAGCTGCTCGGCGCAGCAGGGCTGTTGTAGCCAGGCCGTATGGGTGGAGCGGCGCTCCCTTGGTTCAGCAGCCGACTAATCGAAGGGAGGGCACCATCCCCAGAAGGCATGGCCCCTCCAAGCCAGTCCGATATCGATTCCACACTCTGGCCGCTGCGTAGGCGGGCGAGAACCTCCTCCCAGAGGTCAGGGCGGACAAGACCAGCAATAACTTGCTCATTGTTACGCTGCTGGCGCCGGAGCTGCTCGATCTCGTGCCGCAAGTTCTCTTTCGATTGGCGTACGGGAATCTCATAGACGCACTTGACGTCCTTCTGACCTTGGCATCTGCCGCAAGGTGTACGTCCGTCGCACTACGCGCGATAGCAATTGTGAGTCCCAAATCTTTTCAGCTAGTCCGGGATGGTGGGGGGTTCGGAAGTTTAGTTAGGTAGCTTACTAACCTTTGCGCGTTTCTTGCGGCACTCGTTACAGGCGTTTGCTGTCACGACGCCGAGGCCTCTCTTTCTCTTCGATGCGTTCGGCGCCGCGGTTGATCCTGTCGGAGCAACTGACGTGCCCGGGGAAAGTGCTGTATTGTTCCCGCTCGACGTGGAGCCTGGCGGTGGTGTGTTTCCTCCCGGTCCGTCCTCGTCCATGGGATCCATATTTTTATGCCCACCTGGTGCGTCCCTGCCTCAGGTGGCATCCAAACAACGGGCGCGATAGGTCTGTCGATCAACGGCCACTAGCATGGTCAGGAGCAGCGAGAAGAGCCACGCGCCGGGGGTCAGAACATGTGGTTCGGGCCTGGGATAGGAGGACGAGTTAGCGACGTATTGAGAAGGGGAAACAAGAGGGGACAGAGAAAGAACGTGGGCGTCGAACCAAGCAACCGGAAGACGTATGTATGTCCAACGCACTCAGATGCGACCAATTCGCTGGAACGGCGGGAGCATGGCGCGATCAAGGGTTGACTACGGCGACACCAACTTTGTTAATAAAAGCTTGCCTTGTACGGCGGTTTTGCTGGCGTCGGGTCTGAAACGAACGACGGAAGCAAGACATTAATCAGGTTTGGAAGCTAAGATAGGAATACATTGTACGAATTTATTTGCATTGCAGCTTGAACTGACTGGCCTATCGCCCCGCTTCCGTGTCACCCAAGCATCCAAGCGCGCCGGCCCGGGTTCTGCATTGGAGCTAGGGGCATGCTTTTTAAGGTGCGTCAGACTCCATCCGATTGTGGCAAAACCCATCTGCTAATCGTAGGGTCATTTCCAAATTCGACTCAAAGCCTCGCCTAGCGGCGGATATTTTTGGGAAATCCGGCTACACCAACCTGCTTTATTTTCCGTTAGTCTCCTTCAACGTGATCACAACTTCAAGCAAGCCCAGCCACTTCGTTGAGAGGCGTTGAAGCTTCCAGGGCAGGCGATCACTCAGCTTGGCACGCCTGAGAAGGCTTGCCTACCTAGCAAGCCTGGTTCACCAAGGAACTTGAAGCTAACGGCTCCCTGCCACTAAGCTTCTTCCGACTCGCAGACCAAGGCAACACCAACCTGGCCGCAACCATACCCTTGAATGTGCATATGAGAAGAACCAAGGCAGAACGAAATTTACCAATTTTTTTTTACTACCTGTCTACGAAGTACACGGAGTACTGCGTATTATTGTATTTGCTGTCAGGGACCTGGGAACTCGAGAATATCATTCCTCAAGGAACTCAATGTTAACATTGAGCTCCCGAAGACTCGACACACGGCGGACACTTTCAACTCAGGGTTTTTCCAACGGTCATCTAGTTGTGTACGAAACAATCCATTATTGCAGGAGACAAGCCCCGGTGCTTCGACGTTCCTGCGTGCATTTCATAGTCCCTATTCAGTGTCGCCCTTCTCACATTGTTAGATCGGTGACTAGCTCTCTCTTACTATCTTGTTTCTCAAACAGCATGAAATACACATGGCAGCTGAAAATTGTTGATGTCGAGTCAGGCTGTCGCCTCAGCTTCCCATCACCCCCCACTGTTTCCACGGACCCGCGCGAATTGGCCGAGTGCCAAGGCCCAGCTGCGGTCCATCCCCTTTGTAGCCCCCAGCGTTCCCCAACGATCAGGAGTTTGAAGATAAGGGAAGGGTCCTCGGATTAGACATTGGTGTTGTAGGAGTTTGATCTATCCCGCGAGGGCCGCGTCGAGCCGCGGATGAGGGGTGTAATTGAACAGATGTTCGCCATTTGATGAGAGACATTAAAAGAGATACCGAATAACCACCTCAAGGGTGAAGCTGCCAGAGTAAATAAGAACAAACGAAAAAGACCTAATCCGAAGTCTACCAGGCTTCCGCAGTGCCGCAGGCCATCGCCATGATCGCAAACCAAAACACCCTGTGGCCATGTTCCCGACCCAAACCGGCCCGTACAAAAGAAATCCAAATGCGGTTTTACAACGTAGTACACAGTGGTGCCGGCAAAGCCAAGCACCCACCCCAAGGACCCAACCACCCACCACCCTCCTGCAACCTCTTTAGTACCCCTTACTCGGGCTCCGTACCCGAGTGCCCTTCGTGGGGCTCCGGCCCCTGTCTCCCTTGCTCGGACTCCTCCTTCCTGATGGAGTCTGAGGCGGCATGATCATCTTCATGTCTGGCGATGCTTCCGAGTCCGTGACGTCATTGGCAAAGAAGTTCTTCCGGACATGCCGCGGTGTCTGGCTGAGGGGAGCCCATATGTAGGCCTGCTGAGGGTTGTGTGCGACTGCTGACCCCAGCATGGGGGGTACCACCGGTGGTGAATGCAGGGGTTCTGCGGGCTTCGGCGCGTGAGTGAGAGTAGATTCGCGGAGAAACCCAAAGCCGACATTGCTGGCGACGACGGCGACAAGGAAAAGAGAGAGAATGAAACCCCAAGTCTTGAAAGTCAGAACGCCGACAAACTCATTCATGATCTCGGCAATATTCTTGGCCGAGATTTGGACATGCATAATTGCCGAGGGATCCTGGTTCATGCATGCCTCCCACTCGTTGCAGGGCCCGTCCAGAGCAGGCGCCCTGCTTGATCTTGGTGCACACCCGTTCTTTCGGTAGTTCTCCGTGCAGACCGACATCTCGTTGACGATAGCCGCCCGGGCTTTTTCACCCGCCTGAGAGAGGTCAGACCGGACCTGGGAGAAAATGGCGAACATGCCAAAGAGAACGAGGCTGAGTAGGATGACGTTGACACCCAATTGGAGCCATTTGGATAGGATCGCCGGCGCGCTCGGATGGTCGCTAACCGCGGAGAGGAAGTTGTTAACCCAGCCCCGGCTCGGTTTCTTGCCGTCCTTGCTCCGCTTAGCGCCATGGCCTAGCGCATCCTCCCAGTCACTATCGGAATCGTCGGAGTCGTGTGGTAGGCGGGACCGGCCACTGCCGACGTCACGGTCGCCGTGTAGGCGCTTTCTCTTCCTAATTTTGTCTCGGCTTGACCGGGTAATCTCCCCGCGACCTGACGCATGGTTCCGTAGCAACGTCTTGCTGAACAGTGTCCTTCCGGCGGACGGAGTGAGGGTCAACTTCCCGACTTCCTCCTCTCGTTCAAACTCCGGGGTTTCCGCTGGCATTTCGGAAGTGTCGGTCAGGGCGGGACTGGATTCGGCACCGGAATAATCGGGGTACGCTAGCTCTTCGACCCGTTTCTGCGGAGTAGTGAAAGCGGGATTCCGAAATGCCGGCGCTGATGGCTTGCGCGGCAGTTGGGGGTTGAAGAAGGACGCATGTGGCGGACGTGGTTGGTCTTGCGGTTTGAGAGGTGAGCCCTTCGGGGTGCCCGCTAATGCGAAGGGATTGGAATTTGATGACCGCTGTTTCGTCGGCGAGCTGAACGTTGCTATGTACGAGAGTCCGTCAGCATCTATGTGGCCAGCTTGCAAGATCGAATCATGAGAGTCGAATTGCGGCGGGCGGAAGGAGGAGCACGAAAGTGTAACCTCTCGCTCTGGAGAAGTGCTAGGGATGCGCGTGACACACTGACATGTTGAGGGTCCTCGGGAGAATTTCGCAAATGGACTCGAATGGTCTACGGGGGGTTGCGACTGGTATTCCCAGTCCATCGGGCCTTCGTATGTTCGGCGATCCATAGCGGAGTTGGGCAAAGTAGCTGAGCTGATTATCTGTCGTTGGTCAGGAGAAGTCGATGAGGTGCAGCTGGGCTTCGGTGGCGCGGGGTTCCACCGTGTTTTCTCCCTTTTTTTCGCAGCGCAGCAGTGGAAGGCGCGACAATCTGCGTCGTTGGTGGCAACCACCCTCAAAGTAAACACACCGGCAGATTTCTGGAATGAAGAGCCCCACTATATCTTGGCGGAAGGTGGGGTCTCGCTGTTGGCGGCCAAACAGGCTGATGGCGGCTGGAACAGCCTGTTACTCGTCTTATAGCAGAGCTAATATTTGAACGAACATTTTAATCAAACTGTTTTCCGCACAACAGACAGTTTTCCGCACAACAGACAGTTTCCCGCACAACAGACAGTTTTCCGCACAACAGAGTTTTCCACACGTATAGAGCCAGCCAATACCAACCGAGCCGGGCATCCAATACCAACAGAGCCGTCCCACCTAGGTACCATACCTGCCAATTCCTACCTGCACTTCAAAATGCAACTTCCTTCGCAACTTTCCACTATAATCAAAGTTATAATTCTTTCCATAGTAACCTAATTTCCTTATGTTGAAGCTCTGTCTTGCTGTTTGGGCTATCTCTCTGCTGCGTTGAAGGGGTTTACCTAAGTCTTACGCGCAAACAGAATGTTACTACCCTAACAGACTGACTTCTGCTGTGGGGACGCCTAAGGTAGCTGTGGCGCTGGTGCCCAAATAATCCTTGCAGCCTTGTCTTTTTTGTTCGTCAAGCCTGCGCCGGAGAATCTGCGGCTGAGGATTCGATGCACAGACCATTCACCGCGTGCAGCAGTATCCTGGCTGGGAGTTCTCAAAGAAAGGCAGCAGCAAGGCGTTCTCGACTTCCAACTTAAAGTAACTTTCACCCACCAAGTTCAAACGCGACCATCGAAAAAAGACGTCACTACTTGCTCCTAGTGGCCACAGTCGGGCTCAGTTTTTTTTCCGGCGACTCGCTTTATCAGCTGCCCCTTTTATCGCCACGGGATCAATTAGTTAGAACAAGTCGCGACATCAAACGACCATGTCCGGAGCCAACTCCCCAGCTGGCTCGCGGGCTGGATCGGCCGAGCCGGCTGAGCGCCGTGATGACTCCGCAGATATTCACGATGGTGATGACGGCAATGCTTCCGATAAGGATTCCGATCTCCTCTCCGAAATCGACGAAGACCAGTTTGAGGACTACGATCCCACCCTCGAAGAGAGGCCCGTTGAGATTGACGAGAATGTCGCAATGACCTTGAAAGCCGCGAAACGGAAGCGGACAGATGGCGAGGCATCGAAGAAACCGAAAGAGGGACGCAGGCCAAAAAAGAGGTCGCGGGCGACAGACGACGAAGTTGGCGACGCAGAAATCGGCGAGCGCCGGCCACGGAAAGCACGCGCTACGGGCGAGCGACGGGCGGCAACAAAGGAAGCGCCGGAAGAAGAAGAGAACGAAGAAAACCTCACACCTGAGGAACGCCGCCGCCGGGCATTGCACCGAGCGATGGACAACGCGTTGAAGAACCCCTCGAAGCGGAGGCGCAAGAAGGACGAAATTGTAGGTGGCGCCAAAATCGCGCTCTACGATATCAATCTTGGCTAACAAAACTAGGATTTGGAAGATGCAGTGGACGACCAGATTGCGCACCTGAAAGTGGCGATGGAGAAGGCTTGCGTGGCGGATAACGAAGCGCGCGAGAAGGGCATGGCTGCTACACACAAGCTGAAGCTCCTCCCCCAAGTTACAGCCCTGCTGAACCGGACTGCCGTACAAGATTCCGTTCTCGACCCCGAAACCAACTTGTTGCAATCCGTCAAATACTTTTTGGAGCCGCTTAACGACGGCAGTTTGCCGGCATACAACATCCAACGTGACATATTCAATGCTCTCGCGGGGCTGCCCATCAATAACGAGGTGCTCCTGAGTAGTGGCATTGGCAAGGTGGTCTACTTTTACACACGCAGCAAGCGTCCCGAGGCCAGCATCAAGCGGATAGCAGAACGGCTGGTCGGCGAATGGAGCCGGCCGGTTTTGAAGCGGACAGACGACTACAAGAAACGACAAATCGAGACTCGCGACTTCGATTTTGCGTATGTTTTCCTCGTAACCATTTTGGTTCGCTTGCTAACCCAACAACAGCGCCGCGAAACTTGCCCAGCGCCAAGGAGCCGCCGCGTCCGGTTCGCAGATGACACTGACCCAGCGACCGGCAGGCGGAAAGACGCGCTTCGAGCTGGAACGCGAGCGGATGCTCGCACCCGAGATCAAGAACACGAATCGTGCCCAGCCGGCTGGTCTCCCCGCCAGCTACACCATCGCCCCGCGCAGCACGTTTGACGCCTCCCGGGGCCCGGCTGAGTTCCGCCCCGTCGGTGCCGCTGGTCTTGAAGCGTTCCGTAAGATGACGCAGAAGGGGAAGGGTGGCCGGCGCTAGTTGGGTGACCGGAAGAGCTGATACTAGTTGGATGGTACAGGGAGGTTGCACTAGGAAATAGCGGAGGGGGGGCAAATGCGGGATCTGAAGGGTCCCTTTTTACCCAAATTGGACTCGGACTTTGGCTTGGTTTTCTATGGCTAACGTGTCTGTCGCTATGGAAGGAAACGCGGCGCGATATATCGGATATGGAGGAGTCTTGGAGCTGCTATAGTAATTAGAACACGTCACGTTGTCCTCCCAAAGGAGGCTCTGCAACCCTCAATCACTGCGCCCCTAACTAGGCCCCGCTGAGTGAACGAGCAATCGCACCAGTGAGGCATTAAGTATAAGATATGTAGGCGGGATGACAAGGACCTCTTGTCACCGCCCCCTTTTGGTAAGCGAAGCGCACCCTCAGCAATTTGTACCTACATACACACGAATAACAATGCGAGTATGCCGTGCCACGGCGACACGGCGACACAGCATGGTGGGACAATGCAACACCACAAATGAGAGAGTTGGCGACACGATCGAGTCGCACAATAACAATAGCATTATGAACGAAACCCAAACAAAATAATCTATCCTTATATTTCATGACCCCGAAGCCGAAAGGAAAGAACTCCCACAACACAACGGCCGTGATGAGGGGGGAAAGGACCTCCGCGGCTGCAGCGAATCCACCGCTAGCTAAGATACAAGAGGGACTGATCGTCATCATGTAGACATCATCTAGGTAATAGGTAGGTAATATGAACCACGGAACGAATCTTTTTAGGCGTTGCAAAAGGAAGGAAAAGAGAGACCCCAACCAAGAAGAAATATGTAGTCATCCAGGTGCTTAAACGATGGAATAAAAACAGCAACGGTGACGCAAGACGGAAAAAAAAAGACAAGGCAAATAAACAAAGAAGTCTTGTTATAAAATGAACAGACAGACATGGAAGATTCGTTGCATAGACTGACTGTGCGCACAGGTAGGCTTGTACCCTCAGCACGCAGAGACACTTTGCTGTTGTTGTTGTTGTTGTCGTTGAAGGGAAGAAAACCAACAAACCCAGGCTCCCCCCCGTCCATCCATTCCCCGTTCCGCCCATCCACTTTGCCAGCATCGCCGCCCCCCAGGTGGTGGTCCAAGGTCAAGAAGGCACGAACATTGGTAGTGGAACGCAACCCGGATAGGAGAAAGCCCCCAGGTCAGGTCGTTCGTTCCTTTACGATGACGGCCCCCCCTCAACCCGCTAACCAACTGTTACTAGACCAGACCAGACCAGTCCAGGCCAGTCCAAAAACCAGACCAGACCCAGAATCAGGCAAGCCAAGAACAGAGCGGTGCGGCCGGCAGCGCAGACAAGCAGAACTCCCAACCCAGCCCAACCCAGCCCGCACCAAACGTCACCACCACCACCACCACCACCACACCAACCCCTCAACGCTTCCGCACCTCGCTCGCCCAGCCTTCTATGCCCTCCCCACGACTACCAACCTCGACCTTATCAATCTTGACGCCCTTCATACCGGGGGTCTCCTCCAGCCAGGCATGGCCGGCCATGCCGCCGGCATTGGCGCGCTTCTCAGGCATGAGCTCGAGCATGGGGGTGAGGAAGTCTGCGATGCGGCGGGGCTCGTCGTCCTTGAAGTGGTACTTTTCGCGCAGGACGTCGGGCAGGGCCCAGTGGCGCAGGCGGTGGATGTTGCGCAGCTCGCCCTTGCGGTTGAAGATCTCCTGCGACCACTTGCCCGACAGGCACAACGACTTGGGGAAGGGCCCCATCAGCTCGATGATCTGCGCGATGTGGTCGTCGTCCTTGCCGTACTTGGTGCCCGACTGCGGGTCGAACAGGTAGTCGCCCGTGATGAGCTCGAAGACCTGTAAAGGGGGGAGGGAAGGTTTTGTTAGCCAACGGGGACGGGGTATGGGAGGCGGGGTAGAGTGAGCGGGCTGAAGTGGCATACCATGGCTGCCATGCTCCATACATCTGTGCTCGCCCCCCACTTGGCACCTAGGATGACCTCGGGGGAACGGTATTGGCGTGTTTGGATGTCGTTGGTGAAGTGGTGGTTGACCCAGCAAGCGTTACCGAGGTCGGCAATCTTGACGCTGATGATATCGCACGCCTGCATATCATCGGCCTTGCGCTTCTCCCCTGTGTTCGACGGTGTTGTGGCCTTGTCCAGCGAGATCCCCGAGACTTCTCTGGTCAAGATGTCGGCCGTCTTTTCCCTCTGTTTCTGGTTCTCCTCCGGGTTGCCCGTATCCGGTTTCGGCGACGGCTCTTTCGACTTGTTACCTGCTACAAATCCAGTTGGTTAGTAAAGACAAACAATGACAACAACAGGATCAACTTACCATCGTGCAACATCTGCCCCAGGCTGTGTGAACCAGGAGACGGGAATAGCGAGTTGGCGTTGAAGCTCGCGTTTAAGGGTGAAGGCAGCGGCTGGCTGCCTGTGATGAGCGTCCTCCGCCGCCGGCGGCCGTTCCTATTATTCTCCTTGTCGTTGGTTTCGCTCTTTACCACCCGCTTCACAATCTGCTCGACGTCGCCGATCTCAATAAGCACATTTTCGGGCTTCAAGTCGGTGTGAATGATGCCGCACTCCCGGTGCAGATAATCCAACCCCAGAAGCACCTGTTTTGTGATTTGCTTGACGAGGGCCATCGGTATGCCTCTGTGATTCCACTTCTTGATCAGTCCCAACAGGTTTTCCCCAAGCACCTCGAACACCATGCAGACGTGGGTGCCATTCGGGCCCTTGTGCTCGAATGAATCCAACAGACTGACGACGTGCTTCCGGCCTGGGTGGTTCGGGTTGGCTTGGACGATTTTGTTGAGGAGCTTGATCTCGTCTATAGCGGTTTCGGTGTAGTGGGCGGCCGACCGTACGACCTTGAGGGCGACATGTTTCCCCGAAACGTTGTCTCTTGACAGCCAAACCGTCGAGAAGTGGCCCCAACCCAACTTCCGCACAACTGTGTACTTCCCGTCCTTGAACTTCTCCCCGATGGTTACCGGGTGGTAACCGCCTTTGCAGTAATCCTCAGAATCCTCCTCATCTGCGGTATTCTCCGCGGCATCCTCTGGTGAGGACGGCGAGGTCGGTGAATGTGTCATGGCTGATGCGAGATGGGCGGCCCTATCGGAATCGACGTGTAAGCAGTTTGTCTAACCTGGACATTGCAGCAGTCCGAAATCTTGAGGAGGCAGACACCCGATGTCCGGACGACTCGTGTCATGGGGGCAAGCGGGTGGCGGGGTTGGGTCGGGCTGCGCCTTTGCGCACGGTGCCGAACTTTCGGCGGCCCGAAATCACAAGCAAGTGCGGTGGTGGGATGCACGACTCGGTTCAAAACATGCAAAAGCGGAGACCTTGACTTCAACATCGTTTTCATCTCGGGATGTTGGCTGCACAATCGCAGTGGGGGGTCAATAAACAAACGGGGAGTTTAGTGGTGGTTTGGTTTGGTTTGTTTGGCCAGCTTCGTAGGTCGCAGCGACAGGTTCGATGTATCTTGGGCCCCTGGTTGCGGGAGGATTCGGGAAGCGGTAAGGAGAGGGGAGGATTCGGTGGGTTAATGGTGTAAGGTGAAAAGCGCCCAGGCTCACTCGAGCCTTGAGCCACACAGGACACAAGCCCAAAATATCTGCAGGCTCGTTTTCCCCCCTTTGCCCTTTGGAGCTGGGGGATTCTCCATACCCATGCGCCTACGCTGTGTGATGTCGCAGCGTGAGCGCATGGGTACGGAGGTAGTGGGCTTTTTCCCCTCCATGGGTTCGCGGATTCGTGGGTCCCATGGCCCGCCTGTCGCACCCCGCCACCTCGCTGAGGGACGGCACGCGCTGCGCAATGTGTTTGCCAGGTCGAAGGAACGGGAACCTGATCCGGTGAACCCAGACACGCGGGACTCGAGGCAGGCAATGGGCCTTCTGGAAACGGGGCAAGGAAAAACAAGGCATCGATTGATCCTTGCCGCAGCAGGGCAGAAAGCGCAATGCACGTACCCAGGACCTTCTGTGGTGATGATAGGCTTCAAGCCGTCCTTCTTCCTCTTCTTATTTATTGCCGAGTTTCCGTTGGCAGCCGCAGCCGGGGTCGATGCGCCTTGCGGCGACTTTTGCGCCAACGTGTCGTTCGCGTGTTGCGATCCGTTCATTGTGCGCGAAGGAGAAATCGACAGCTCAGTTCACAAAACAGGGTCGGGTGACGGAGCTCGGGCGCGCGTGGCCGTCCTGTCAATTGCGATGTCGATGGGGTCGGTGGGGAAAGACAAGGTCGGATGGCGGGGCGTTTCGACGGAAAAAAATCAGGGGCCTGTCTCGAGAACACACACAGCTCAGTTAGCGTTTTTGATGCCCAGGAAGTCGGGTCATGGCAAGTTAATATGCCACTGGACTTGATTCGACGCCGGAGGAGCGGGAGAGCGCGGTGGCCAGGTTGCGGCGCGATGCTTGCGCTTCCACCCGGACTGGCCTTGCGCCGTTGGCCAGCCCCGATCCAACAGAGATGCGAGAGGAGTTGTCGTCTGTGGATGTCTCAAGACACAGGGGCGCAACCCTCACAGGGCGTCTTACCCATTCCCAAACTCAGGTTAGGTATTGTGGAAGTGCAGGGCCCAGAAGGGAAGGCCTCCGGCGCTCAGAAAGCTGGCGATCGTGGATCTTCTGTCGCGACTTGCGGATTGATCGAATTACGTCGGTTGCGAGTCTGTATGATTGTCGATGCGACGAGGTCGCGGAGAGCAGGCCTGAGTTGGATGCTGGGGCCGCTAACCGCTGGCCCGGGGTGGCTGAGGGTGAGGGGTGGAGGGGCAGCACTCTAGGCGTTGCAACTTTTGCCAATGGGCTTACCTTAGGTAGAGGAGGTTGGCGACAATGTTGGTGAAGGACGTGGGATGTTTTCTTCTCTTGGCCGACTCTGCTAAGGACGTCATAGACAGGCGTTACGCATGGAAAACCTGCGCCGTGCAAAATTCCAGGTTGGTCGGTTCCGCAGTGTTGCTGCAGGCGCTGAGGTACCTATGTACGCCAGGGTTGCGCTTGGGGTTGTTGATCGACTTGATCAGGGTCGTCGCAGGTACGTAGGAAAGCAGTGATAGCATGCAAACAATAATTTTCGAAAGCAGAAATAGTGAGAGCGCACGAGTGTGAGCAAGTCTAGATATGTTAATATATTCTTGGTACGGGAACCTAGCAAGCGCCTGGCGGAGCAGCGATGAATCCGAGATCAAGCTGACAAGCCGGCAGCCGTGCCATCTGTCTGATGCGACACGGAATGTTGGGACCTGGTTGCCATTCGAAGTTGGCAGGGATGTGGGAATGCAACCAATCCCGTCACTTCCCGACCCTGAAACCCAGCTGCCTTGTGCTGGGGGTTCCCGAGAGCCAGTTGATGGAGCAACGTGATTGCAGCAGATTCGGTCTCAAACAATTTGGCCATGATGGGACGGGTGGAGCCAAAAATCGAGCCCCCTTTCAGTGCAGCCAACAATGTATTTGTACAACCTCAACTGGGTGTATGTTCTATTGTTTATTATCATCGTGGTTGAGCACGTCACCAGCCAGCATTCGAGTTGATGGCCAGGCAAGACAGGCACACACACGCCAACTCACAATCAAAAATGCCTAGAACCAGCACAGCCTTCAAGAAACAAAAAGTCATTCGTACCGCCAGAGTGCAGTACCAGTGACTTCGCACGAAAGAAACCTACCTAACCAAACAAGATCTCCCTTCTAACGAGCCAGCACGGAACTCTAACAAACCAGGCATCGCAGGCATCGCAGGCATCGCAGGAATGGCAGGAATGCCCAGGTACCTTGCCTAGTTAGATGCGCACCTACGTAGGTAAAGGCAGACCTTTGCTTGATGCGCAGATGGATTTGCAGTTTGGGTTTTGTTTTCTTACCCCTTTGTGCCTCGCCGTCATCAACCCGACCAGCGATAACACTTGACCGCCCACGGCCACATAATCTACCTATTATCCACCTATTATCCACAGGTATGAGAGGTCTATTTCCTTTTATGCCCGGGAAGGAACTAGACCCTGTCGAGCAGCACGGTCTCTGAACGTCAAGTATATCATGATTTCGCGGATAACGCTCGGCTTTGACACTGACGCGGCCATATCGAAAAGGGGCCCAAGACAGCTAGTGAGGTACGAAGAATATAGACAATAGTGCGGCAGAATATGGGCGATGCTCCTTACGTTATGCCATCCTTGTCTATCGAAAGAAATGCCGAGGGGACTTCACGTCAGGAGCGTACAATCAAGTTTTCTAGCCACCACTTTCAGTATCATGATTGTGTATATCCTGTGTCTTAGCCCACTGGGCCATCCACTTCTGTTTGGAACGAGAAATTCACGCCTAATATTTCCGGGCTTAATCCTAGATGTCCATTGCGTCCGTTATACTCTATCAAAATCTCTGTGAAAGTCTCTTCTAAAACAAAGAAAATCCACTCGCCGTATCAGACCGAGCTACTTCAAGGAAAGAAACAGTAACAACCCCCTACCATTCCACAATCACCCGCCAACAACACCAGACCACTGGAAGACACCCACCCCTTCCAGACCCATCATAGACCCCCGCTCACAAACCACACCTCTTCCGACACGCCTCGACATCAAAAAACGGCCCCTGCGGCACCGCCGCCCGAAACCTCGCCAGGTCCTCCGCCGACAACGCGCCCCCAAACGAAATTGGACCCACAAACTCCATCCGACTGCTGAAACGCCTGGGGTACCACCAGCGGCGGCGCCCGGATCGTCGGACGCGAAGGCCGCCACGGCCAGCGCCGGCGTGCACTCCGGGATTCATCTGCGCGTGGAACGACCCCTGCGGGAAGATGGTCGTCTGGTTGGCCGTCAGCTCCGTGCGGATTAGCCGCGGCTTGCTGGGGTCGGCCGGGTCGGTCGCGCCGCCCTCAGGGATCATTTGCGTGATCACGCGCCCGGAGAGCACGACGAAGATCTCGGCGGAGCGCGGGTGGATGTGCAGGGAGGCCATGCTGCAGCCTGTGTTTTTTTGTGGGGAGAGAGGTTAGTGGACTTTCTTAGTTGGTTGATGATGGGTGGTGGTGGTTTAGAGATGGAGGGGGCTCGTCCGCTTCAAGTTGAGGACGGGTATTGGGAGTGGCTCTTTGTGGGATTAGATGGGGTGCTTACCTTCGATTGCTGTGATGGCGAGAGCGATGTCGGTTCCCACGAGGGCGGGAAAGGTCTTGCGGTTGGCCATGGGGAAAGGAGCCGTGTTGAAATCGAAGACAAAGTCCTCGTTCTTGGTGAGGATCTGATATCTATCGACGGCACTAGATATGGCACAGTGTCAGACATGCAACGGGACTAGGCGTCTGTCTAGCTCCACCTACGTGTCGGCGAGCTGCAATTGGGCAGGGATGCTGAGTGCCGTCGCTACGAAAGGGCAGGGCCAGAGCGGCGAAGGCGGCGGGAGCTTTGGAGAACATTTTGAGGATGAACTGGTTTGTTAACCGGAGAGTTGAATGGAGGAATAGTCGAGCAAAAGTGAACAGGGCTGCCTTTATGTTAAGAACTCAAGATCCAGAGGCGTGGAGGCTTGGTGGTTGTGATATTGCCTCCCATAAGAGCCGTATCGACTGTTTTATACTCCCCAGTTTCCACATCGTTGAATAAATAACGAGTCTATTCCAATTCTTTCGTCAGGCGATCTTTATGAATACGCTGCTTATATTTCCTCAATACGCGATTTCGCGCAGCGCCGAGTACGCTGCTTACACCCCTGCATACGCCATGCCCCAAAGGTTGTTATTCGCTGCAAGCCAATATCACCGCCACAGCCACAATACCAATACAACGTGGACCAGCTAGTTCGAAGCACCAAGTGATTTCGATCTTCACCGCATGCTACAATTGTCGTAGCGTCGGCGTGGTCGGGAGGCTGTGGGCTTGAACCACTAGCGGACTGCGGTTGCTGATGTGGCTCACCTTGCCTGGGTTACCAGACCTCTTTTTGGATGTTCGTCTTTAGTTTAATTATCTCTTGAATAGTTGCTTAGACTAACTCGAAGGCCATCTGTTGGGAATAGTTGGAATAGGATAGGGCAAAGGGTGTGCTTGAGCCATGACGCATGCACAGTACTAAGAGATTGTTGAAAGTAATCGGTTGCGGTCACACCTCCAGGCGTAGCTCTCTTTGTATTGACTTCAGTAGTTAAGGTATCATGTGCTTCACTGCTGGAACCCAGGCAAAGTCCAAACCGACATTGAGATCATCCCTGACCTTAATCGTACTTGCTAGCTCTGAATGGACTGGTTAACGCACAGCAAGCCATTCTCAAGCTCTAGCACGTGAACACCGCGGGACCTGTTGTTTCCTTTGTTAGCGGGCTCCTTCTTTTTCACCAATATACCGACATCCACCTACCGGGGACAGTGTAGCTATCAGGGTACGGCAGGTCGTTCTTCCAAATCTGGACCAGGATACCCGGGTCGGAGTTCTACCTCTTGTTAGCTTGACCAATCGTCTCGGGCTGTCGGGAGAGGGGAAAACGTACGGAGTAGGCTCCGGGGAAGGAGACAGTCTCGGGCTTCTTGGTTGCAGTCCCGCCAGAGACCCGGATTTGGGCGCATGAGAGCTGTGCAACCCATGTTAGCTGGGTGTTTTTTTTGCCACTCTAGGACGAGCGAGTTTGGGGGTCGTTTACGTAGAACTGGGCACCCATGGGAGCAGAGGCGGAGTGGAGGGCGATGAGCTCAAAGCGCAAGAGGTAGTCGCCGTCTTCAATGCACTCGGGAATGGTAATCGTCTGGATGCCCTCGTCGGCGATCTGGAAAAGTATTAGAAAACAGACCGTGCACAAGAAAATCATGCAGACGTACCAACTTGTCGACACCCCACACCTCTGACGGAAAGCAGCTTCGTTAGCACGGCGTTGTATGAGAGACAGATGGAGATGACACACGGTTTTCGTAGCCCACTTCGCTGATCTTGAACCAGCCGTCACCAGGGCCAGCTCCGGGGTTGTTGGTGGCATCGTCGACTTTCTTGAGGTAGGCCATTACGGGTCCCTAAAGAGACGGAATATTAGTTCCCAGTGTTGCCCACACGGTAGTGAAACCTCGTACATGGTGACTCGAGGCGATAACCTTGTTGTCCGAGTACTCATCCGGCCCGGTGCCTGTGCCGACATGTTAGGTCTCCCATTTCTGGGACCTCTTTGGATGTTAAGGGCTGAACACATACTGCCCAGTTCGTGGAGCCACAGTCCCGTCACCTGCGATCCAGCCTTGACCTCAATAACATCCGAGGAGCTCCTCCACTTCTTCACTGGAGCACCACTGCAGGCAATTGAGTCGGTCGACACGTCTTGAATGGGCTAAACGAGATACTGGGTCAGCCTCTGTGCGAATGCAGCCGGGGAAGAGAGGGAGAAATCATACCGTGTTGTCGTTGTCCGGCATATAGATTCCCTTGCCCGTCTCCAAGCCGTTCACAGCTTGCATAATAGTGTGAGCCGAGGCCACGGAGGCGGCGGCCACGACGGTCTGAATGATGGAAGATTTCATGTTGAACACAGGTGAGAGTGATCAGATAAGCTGGTTAGGTAGAGATGATGACTCAGTAGCGAGTTCGACGACGGATAGAAAGGAGTTATACCAGGTTTGGCTCTGGATGGTGTTCTTTATATACCTCATCGTCCGAAGGGCTCCCGCCTTCTCGTAACACCAGGCGAGGCACTAGGTGGTATAATTGTGACGCTATGTTCCGAAAGTCGGCTCGGGGAGGACGGGTGGGATATTGAGCAGTGGTTTGTGACGATCGATTTAATCAAAACTGCACCAGGAACAGCAACTCAGCAGCGCCCATGCAGCATCCGCTCCCACACTCGCCGACTTCTTCGGATTAGAAACAACCACGTCCCCGACGGCCCGAAGAAGGCAGCGTCTACGGCGGCCCACCCTGCGGTCCAAAACCAGGCAAGATGGACAGTTATAAACCACCCGCATCACCAACAACCCTCAGCTCAAGAGCTGTCGAGTTAGACTTTGCGGGGTGAGCGATCCCCCGCGTGCAGTAACCCTTGTCCATGACGATGAAACCACCCGCAAAGCGCCATCTTGGGTTAGGCTAGCGAGCTCCCAAGCCGTGCTTCACGGACCGTCACCTACCGCCCTGATAAATTAATATAGCCGCTGGGGAGTGGGTCAACTCGACACCTCGCTATTGGCCCCTTTGATGTTCGTCTCAACTTCTGGAACTCTGAAACTCTGAATTCGGCCCTTTGGCTTTTTGACAGGTTGTGGTGGCCGTGGCTGTGGCCCGGCCTCCGCGCCGATGAACGGGGGACCACCCCCGGACCCGTTCGGGCGCCGAATGGTTATGCCACCATGCCGGGCCCCATAAGTTGTTATGCCCGGGGCATTTCCTGCTTTGTTTGGGAATGATGGATGAGGTCGTAAATGAGATGGGTGGGTAGGTGATGGCGTGCGTGGCGATCCGTCCGCCATGGCCTCCATGCATGTAACGACGCCGCGCTTGGAAATCCCTCCTGACGCCGGTTGCAAACCGTCAAGCTCTTTCCTTTCCTTGCTCTTGCTGTCATTGAAGCAGCCGGGACGTGGAGCATCCTCGGGAAGTGCTATGGTAGGTATTGAGGCAAGCGGATCAACAACCGATATAGGCCCCTTCAACTTTGATGTAAGAGGCTGTGTGGTCGTCAAACTGCTGGGTCCGAGCCAGGCCTATCGCATTGGTAATCTATCTTTCGTCGGTAGTTGCACTCTCGGTACCGGTCGACGAGGTGGTACTGCGCGCGACTAGGGTGGCGGCACTGGGACGAAGGGAGGGATGGCCTAACCCGGAGCATCGATTTCCTGGGTGCCCTAAACTGGCAACTTCCGTTAGCTCCGTCGAATGATATGGCACCGAGGTGATCTCATATAAACCGGCGGATCCCCCACAACCCGGAACGCCGGGTCGAAAGGGGGGTTTCTCAATATGCGCTCGGGGCATCGGATCTGATCGTCGTCTGTGGAAGACATACTCTCCCACAAGTGGACCTAAGAGTTTTATTTTAGATCTGGTGGCTATTCCTCCCATCTCAAACCACGGCCCGTTACAGTGAGGGCCAACTGGAAAGAGTTGGGGATGGTATTGAAAAGCTTCCCCGTTTCATGGTCAGCCCGTCCCTTGTTGTTTGGGGTCTGTTCGGACCCAAGGAGTGGGAGCAGCCGCCAGATCGAAAAGATCTACAGAGTACCTCACAACCATTTGACTCCTGATGCCCTGGCAACGTTCCCCAAAAAGGCCCAATCGGCTTTCTTAGGGTACGACATAGAAAGTCGACACAACTCTCATACGTCTGCACGTTATTGATGGCATACCAGTACCACTGAATGGCGCACTTGCCGCCCGTGCTGCAGGCTTCACCAAGCGTGCTGGGAATAGTGACGTTGAAATCGACTAATAATTTTAGCCTGTATATCAACGACAGAGCCCTACGGGGTGTAGAAGAAAGGGCACTACGTACTGTCGGACCGAGGCGTCGTTGTCGTGGAGTTTGGCCAAGTATCCCAAGACCGCAACGGACTCCCAATGATCTTGTTCGCTTCGAGATCAATTATGGACACGTTCTTGCACGGTGGTCAAGGTCAGTCATGTGCACCCGCCAAGTTGGAGAGGTCAATGTTGCTGTTACTTGCCGCATAACCAGGGCGATGTCCAGCAATTAGATCAATGTGGAAGTCAATGACTTGGCCCAGTTTATATTCTGTTGCGGCATTGTCCTCATACTGATAGCCGCGGCAGAGGTAAGGATTGCAGCCTATCTCTGAGCTACGCCCTGTTGGACGCCATTTTCGATGGGACCAGCTTTATCTGCAGCCTGTGTCAGCTATCTGCGCCCGAACGTGGGATCCTGCTTGGACACATCGAGCAGCAACTTGTGGCGATAAGAGGCGTGCTCACCCGTTTCCATGAACTCCGCATAGGTGTTACCGCAACGTTCTGTATAGGCTGAACCGGCCTGTGGATCAAGTGAGAGTCAGCTACATGTGCCTATATTAACCTGTCGAGGTTGACGATACTTGCATAGCACACAACAACATCTCTGGTGGCACTTACACGACGAGGTGTGGGAACCTCCATAACGGCGTGGCCACGCACAACTGCCGCGGCAGTGAGCACCGTGAGGAGCCTCATGAGAGCAACCGTCATGTCCACGGTTGGTGTTCTGGATGCTGCAACGGGGCGGTGGATGTCAACGACGGTGATAGGCAAGTACGATGAAGTTGAAGGGAGAAAATAAGGTCCAATGGACTTATAAGTTATATGTAGGGTAAGAATAAGGTACTTAAGGTAAGGTGCATTCACTTCCAGGTCAACTACGTGTGTGTGACCGGTGAGACCGTGAGATCAGTGACCGTCGGGGCAACGGCAGCAATGTAACGAGGGTTTCTGTCAAGAGCAGGAGAGGAGGTATTGGAGGTTTTCATCTCTGCCAAAAATATTCCATGTGTGGGTACGATCGGAAATGATCATAAGATTCACAACTTCGGCCGAGACTGGCGACTTGCTGATTCTCGCATGCGGATTGAATTCGGAATTTCGGATTTCTGGACATGGACAATGACGAGCCGCCATAATTACGACACCAATTCCACAAAAAGGCTGCGGGACCACGCCGGTCCTTCAAAAGGCTTGTTGAAGCAATATACTTGATGCGGACGTTGTCCAATGCACCAATTATTCGAACGCATCCTGGGTAGAGGCGCGGAGGAAGAGGTCGGAAGCTTGTTTGAACTTACATGAATGGGAGTTTGAAGCTTAACTTCTTAAGTCTTCAACTGGCTCGCTTCAGTGCCATTGGTGGAGAATTATATAGCGGTTGCGTTCCCAGATACGTGCCCTGAACCCCAGGCTTCCCCATGGGGTATGGGGCTGTGGTCATCATTCAAGGGGAATGATCATGATCATCATTGGCACCTCGGGCTCGGGCCATCACATGTACATATCTAATGTACTTATGTGCCAGTTCCTATTCAATGGGTGGGGGCTGGGGAGGTGGGCGAGTGACGGTCCTTGTTGTCGCTCAAACCGGGGTGGCGATACTCTCGTTCGAACACAGTTTCAGTCACCATATGGCCATTCTGCTGTGGTTATTCCCGTCGTCGTGTATGAAATAAGAGAGCGCGTATTGGAGAGATAGTACTGTTGGTGGGCGCCTTCAACTGCAAAGCTTTGTACCGGTGTCCTTCCTCGCGAATCCTCGGGAACAGGCCGTGTGGAGATAGGTTGTTCGTATGTGTTCAATACCAAATGGCCAAATTCTTACTGTGTGGGGGCTGACTGATTGTCCCTGCTGCCACAAAGATATTTCGCTTCTATGGATGGTCAAAATTGATCACACACTCGCCTGACATCAGGAGCTGCGCCCGGGCCTCAAACAGGACCTGAGCAAGAACAGAGATCGCATTAACTAATTACCTTAGGTACATCTCCATCGCAATCGGTTCAATCGCTCGATTCCAGCTACAACAAATTCATCCCCGCCATCATGACGACCCGCGATTTCTCCCAGGCGACAATGGGTGCGGCCATGGATTTGCTGATTTAGCGAATCCATGGCAAGATTCAGCGACGCTGAATCTTGTGTCAGAACAAGCCCAGAGCGGCTTGCGCCTAGGACCTGGGTCACGTGACCCGGGGGGCCAACCAAATTACTGGTCGCCAGAAAATTAGACCAGTTCAACAAGTTGAATAAGAACAACGAACAACAAGCACTGCAATTGACAGCCATCAACACCCTCTACTCCGTTCCTTTTGACCCAAGCCTTCAGTGATCTGCTCAATGCCTTGAAATACCGCTGGTTCCAACAATTAAGAGTCTCATTCGCCTCGCAATCCCCGAGCAAGCCAGCCCTCAATCTACGGTCCAGCAGCCATGGCGCCGATCACTGAAGACAAGACCGTCACCCAGATCCTGACTGGTCCCAGCACCTGGGTCAGTTGGCATCGCGAGTTCACGAACACAATGGACGCCCTCAAGCTCCTCGAATACTTCCAGGGCACCAAAGAACTCCTGACCGAGCCACGATCATCGGTCAATCCGCTGCGAATCATGGAACGGGCGCAAGAACGGCGCAAGAAGATCGCAGAAGAGAAGGGAGTGGCCATCCTTGCGCTCACAGATGAGGAACTCGAAGGCGCCACCGAAGCGACGCTCGATATCTCGACAGCGACCACTCCTCCCGACAGCGAAACAGAGGGAGAACAAGCCTCCGGGGCACCCACTGCCGCACAGAAGAGGACCGCAGGGAAGGCAGTGGACGACTATTTCCAGACCTACGGCCTGTTCATTCTTCAATCCATTCAGAACCTTCACGACAACCGCCGTAAGGACTGGACAGCCCAGTCCACCAAACTCGACAAAGCTCGAACCTTTCTCAACACCACTGTCGCGATCACCCTCCGCAACGCACACTTTTCAACCGGCGGGAGTCTCCGGGACTGGTACAAGAACCTAAAAGCCGTCGCGGAGGCTCGCCACGAAACAATCAGCGCCCTGCGTGGCAGGATGAGCGACCACTACACTGCCCTAAAAGGGAAGGCCATCACCCAGGCCGACTTTGGTCAGTGGCTGACTCAGTGGGAGACCCTGATGGGCGAGGCAACCATGTACAAGCTCCCTGAGGTCTCCAATGAAGGATCTTGGTTCGAAGACTACGCTCGAGCCGTGGGACCGATCGTGCCACTATATGCAGCACTGGTACGGTCCAACCGCCTCACCAACCCGAACCTGGGTTACAGAGAGATCGCCACCGAGGCGCGGCAAACAACCATCCCCCTGCTGCCCTCGACGACAGGCGCACGCATTCAGAAGGGCGCATTTCCGGCATTCAACCCCGGTGATTCAAATGAGTCTGGGAAAGCTAGCAAGGCCTCCCACAAGCGCAAGAACAGCACTCTTCCTACCGAAAAGGCCAAATGCCGCCTCTGTCACGGAAGACATCACATGGAGCGCTGTGCCTACATCATGCCACACCTGGCACCTGAAGGCTTCCAAATACGGGACCACGTCAGAGAACGTGTGGACCAGAACATAGCCTCAGACTCCTCATTGAAGGCCGAGGTCGAGCGCATTCAGAACAAGCGAACCAAAAACTCTAAGCAACAACCAGATGCTCCGGCGCAAGGCCATTGACTGCCGGCCGAGCAGCTGTGGAGAGTCATTGGCATATGCTCAGCGATTCTCGCGGCTATCCAAGTCAGCTTCCAGGCAGGGGTACTATACCTCCTCGTCAATTCGGCGATACTGGACTCAGGATCAACTATCCACATCTTCAATAGCTTCCACCGGTTCAAAAAGCCACCCTCACCAGCAGGTCCAAATGACTGTGTCTGGGCCGGGGAACATCCCGTGAAAATAGAGGGCTATGGCACCGTGGACATCAAAATCAGCAGCCTGCAGGGGCCTAAAATACTGACGCTTACAGGCGTGGCATATTGCCCGACCTTTGCGTGCAATATCATCTCCCTAAAGGGACTCAATAGGCGTGGCATCTGGTGGGACAACCGCCGCAACAGCCTCCAACGGAATGACGGCTCAACGCTGTGCTTCCTTAGCATTCACTACGATCAATTCGTGGTTGAACACCTTCCTGAACAGGTCCCTGCCGCAGCAATGGCAGCACGCAAGCGGAAGATTAATTCCTGGACCTCACGAGCTGACAGCAGTGCAGACGCGATGACCTGGCACCTCCGCCTAGGCCACCCAGGACCCAGGGTATTAGAACACCTGGTCAATCACTCCCTGGGCGCACGCATCAAAGGCATTACCACCGTCCAATGCGACGGGTGTGGGCAAGGCAAGGCTAAACGCCAGATTAGTCGTGCAACAAGGACTACAGAGATGGAACCTGGAGACCGGTATGTGTTGGGACTACTACCTTGCAAGACGTGAGGCGAGGCAAGTCCTTGCGGCCTTGAAGCACCTGTTCCAGCTGCTAGAAACGCAGTTCAATATCAAGCCCAAGATCGTGGAATGCGACAACGAATTCGCGAACGCCACGATCCTTGTGGACTTCTGCAACCTCAAGGGCATGAAAATTGAGCCCTCTGCGCCCGACACTCCTGCGCAAAACGGTGGCGGAGAGCGTGCCGGCGGAGTGATCAAGGAAAAGGCCAGTGTCACGGGGCGAGGTCAGGGGAGTCGCGGGACAGGGTCAGGTTCTGGCTAATGACTGAGTTGTGCGATGAGGAGAGAGGAAGCTCTCGCAAGGGGACGCTAACGGAGAGGAGATCCTGCTGCTAGTGTGGGTCCAGGTCGCGTGGGCACGTGCTGCCCACGTGACCCAAGCAGGTCAGGCTTGGTGCCGTGACAGTACTCCCCCTCTCAAAGACGGTTTGGTCCCCAAACCACTATCCTAATATATTAAACATCAAAATGTACCTTCTTCCTAGGCCTTCCGCGGGGTCGCTTGTCCTTTACCCAGTTAGGCGGCCCGGGCTTCTCTGGGTATTTGTCATGGAAGAGTTTCAGAACGTCCTTGCAGCCTTTCAAGTCTTGCTCGGGTTGCCATGTAGGCTCATCGTAGTGCTTCCATTTAACAAGGTAGGTAAGTCCGGATGTCTCCTTGTCCTCGTCGTGTACGTCTAGGATCTTCTCGAATTGCCACTCGTCTTGGATAATCCCATCGTCGTCCCGTTTAGCAATCCTTCCTTTGACGTTACGCCGCTCCGCCGCGTTGAGCTCGTCTTGTCCTTGAATGGAGGGGGCCTCGTATAAGCGAACTTTGGAGGTATGGAAGCTCTTATCGACCTTGATGTTGTCCGGGAGGTCCACGACGACGGCGCCCTTATACACCTTCAGCACAGGGAACGGTCCGTCCCATTTGTCGTCCCATTTCTTCTTCGGCCGGTTCGTTGCCATGTGTTCAAGGCTGACCATGACTTGGTCACCTGGGCGGAATGTTGGTGCTTCGTCCCTACGGGCGTTGGCGTTGTCCTCGTACCGTTGCTGGGATTGTCTGGTTAAGGCCGTCAATTGAGTCAGGATTCGCTCGAAACGCAATGCGACAGCGTCTGCACGGAGGTACTCCTTCTTCATATGATCGGAGAGGTTAGGCGGCCGCGGCTGCGGTGGCTCAACCCCTAGTCGGGGGTTAAAACCGTAGTTGGCGAAGAACGGAGAGATGCCGGTTGTCTCGTTGACCTGGTTATTCATTGCAAATTCTGCTAGCGGTAGCCAGTCTACCCAGTCGTCTTGGGTGAAGCTGACAAAGGCTCGGAGGAATTTATGCACGCTTGCGTTGACGATCTCCGTTTGGCCGTCGGTTTCTGGATGGAAGGCTGAGCTCGGGTGTAGTGTTGTCTTCAGGCGTGCACTGAGTCGTTGCCATACCCCGGAGACAAATGCGGAGCCCCTGTCGGAGATGATCGAGTCCGGTGCGCCGTGGAGCTTAAAGACGTGATGCAAGAAGCTGTCTACAACTTCGTCGGTGTCTAGCCCTGTTACCGGGATAAGGTGTCGCATCTTGGTTAGTCTGTCCACTACTACAAGGATGTGCCTGTAGGTTTTGCCGTTCCTGGTGCACTCGGGTAGGTCGACGATGTGGTCCATAGATATGTCCGCCCACGCTCGGAGGGGGACTTCCAACGGTTTTAGGAAACCGGGTGGTGCGGACCGGGGTGTCTTCGTCCTGAAACATAGCGCGCATCCTTTGACAAAATCTGCCGCGAAGCGGGAAAGGCCGGGCCACCAGTAACTCCGGTTGAGCAAGTCGATAGTCTTGACGCGGCCAGGGTGGCCGGCTGGGCCAGAAGAGTGCGTTCGGTGGGCGACTGCGAGCCGCAGGCCTGTGTGATCCGGGACGAAGAGGCGGCCTCTGAAGTAGATTAAGCCGTCGATAATCTTGCACTCGGATTTATCACAGCGGAGGGCTCGGCGTAGAGCTTTTGGCCATCGTCGTGCACCGGGTGTTTGCAAGGCGGTTACCATCGCCTGAGCAGTGCTGTCGTTGTCGTAGCCCTCACGGATCAGGTCGATCAAGGCAATGTTATCGGGCTCAGCGGTCAGTGTTGCTACGAGGTCGGAGTCGTTGTTTTCTCGGGCGTCGTCGAGCAGCTGCTCGAGTATGGTCGGGTGTACTTTCTCTGCTGGTAAAACAGTCCTTTTTCGATACTGAAGTCGTTCATCATCCATTCCAGCGGGTTGGGAGCCGGGGAGCCTGCTCAAGGCGTCAGGTAATGTAGCTTTTGATCCAGGGCCGGTACGTGATCTGGAAGTTGAATTGGGACAGGAATTCTGCCCAACGGACTTGGCGTTGGTTCAGTTGTTTCGTGGTCATGAAGGTCTGTAGGTTCTTGTGGTCTGTGTAGATTTCGAAAGATTCCCTCGTTCCATAGAGCTCCGGGCGCCATTCCTCCAGGGCCTTGACAATCGCAAGAAGTTCCTTGTCGTAAATCTCGTAATTGCATTCGGCGGAGCTATGCTTCGCGGAGAAGAACGCGACCGGCCTCAGTTTACCGTTATCATCGTACTGTGAGAGCACACCGCCGGACGCCCAGTTGGAGGCGTCGGTCTCGACAACGGTGCGTTTGGAGTAGTCGAAGTAGGCGAGAATTGGGGCTTTTGTGAAGGCGTTCTTGAGTTCCTCGAAGGACTGGCGTTGATCGGATGTCCAGGACCAAGCGGTTTCCTTTCTCAAGAGCCGGGTCAGAGGTTCGATGATTCCCGAGTATCCCTGGATGAACCGGCGGTAGAAGTTTGCAAAACCGAGAAATTGTTGAAGTTCTTTGACAGACGTGGGGTCTTGCCAGTCTACGATGGCTTTGACCTTCTCGGGGTCCATGCTGAGGCCGCTTGTGGAGATGATCAGGCCGAGGTATTTAGTCTTCTGGGTGTAGAATTCCGACTTGCCGATATCTATCTGGAGGCCGGCCTCACCCAGTCTCCGAATAACTTCGTTGACATGGGTTGTGTGTTCCTTCCGGGTCCGACTATATACCAGGACGTCATCCAGATAAGCTGTGCAGTAAACATCCAGTGCGTCATGGAGAAGGTGGTTGATGTAATTCTGGAATGTGGCAGGCGCATTGCAAAGTCCGAAGGGGGTGACCAGGCTCTCGTAAAGGCCGAAACGGGTGATGAAGGCCGTCATCCACTCGTGTCCTTGGGCGACACGCACGCGGTTGAACGCTGCTATAACGTCCAGTTTGGTGTAGAACTTGGCGTTGCAGAGAGAGTCGAGGGTTTCCCGGATGAGTGGCAACGGGTATCTGTTCTTGATGGTGACCGCGTTGAGTCCGCGGTAGTCCTGGCAAATCCGGATCCCACCTCCGGGCTTGGCGGCGAGCAGGAGTGGCGCCGCTGCAGGTGAGGAAGACGCTCTAATCCAGCCCTTGGCTAAATTCTCATCAATCCATTTCTTGATGCAACGGAGTTCCTCAGGGGAGAACGGGCGGTTTTTAGAGTACGGGGCCTGCTTTCCTGGCACGAGTTCAATCTTGTGGTCCCAGTGCCGGTGTGGTGGTAGTGTCTCTGCGTTCTTTGGCAGGAAATGCTCCACATGGTGGTGAAACTCCGCCGGTAGGCGGCTCTTGATATCTTCGGCTGTTGGCCGGGGCTTCTCCGCTAGGAACTTGTCGATATCGGACGGCATTATTTTACGCCGTAGTGTTTCAGTGCGGGCTGTCTCGTCGAGGTTTGTCTGTAGGAAGTCGTGGAAGTACGGGTCGAACACCCGTTTGGCATCTTCTAACGTGTAGTCCCCGGTCATGATCCGCCTGAAAGAGGTTTCTTTGAGTTGAGGGATCTCTCAACAAAGAGCCCCGTGGAAGCTCTTGTAACATGTCAAGGTTCTCCTCGTCCTCGACGAGCTGACGGAGCTCGGCGAGAGTTGTGGTTGTGGCGAAGGAGCCTTCTTGCTTACAAAATTGCAAAAAGTTCATTGCCTGGACGCATCGGATGTCGTTTGTGTCGAGCTTCATGTTTCTAGGGCGTCCTGCTGTCTTCAGAATGGGTGTGGGTCGTCGGCGTTGCGTTGGGCGCCTACTGCCTGCACTGAGGACGACGGGTGAGGGTGAAACGTTCCGTTTTGCAGGCCCAGCTGGCTTTGGCGTTACTTGTATAAGGAGTTCGTCTCCGTCGGGGTGGGCACGTTTCGTAGTGAACTCTTCGTCTGGCACGTCCTCGACAGTGGTCTTTCTGTAGGAGGTCGTGGGGGTCGGGGGAGGTGTTCTCCTTGGCTGGTCCTCAGTGGTGGCTTTGCGGCATGGCAATATAGGTTTCGTGAAGCGCTCGGGTGGATTCTGCGCGTGGGGCCTCGCAGCCGCCGGCGGGGAGGTCCCATGGTAGGCAGTGATGTCGACAGTGAGGTGAGTTAAATACCAGGCGCATCTCTGTCCAGAAGCATGTCGGGTTGTGGAGTTTCAGCCACGGGATGCCGAGGATGATCGGGTTAGTTTTGCCTAAGTTGGTGACATAAACAGGCATGGTTTCGGTGTGGTTGCACGATGTGGACTCGAGTGGTGAAGTATTCTGAGACGGTAGATTTCGTAGTGCCGTCGGCTAACCTAAGGGACCTCGGGCGCAGGAGGCGTTTCGTGACTAAGTTGAACTTTTTCACGACTTCTTGGTCATCGGCGAAGGCGAGTACGGTGGAACCAGAGTCAATCAGGCTTGTGGTTTCAAAGAAAGTGCTAGGGAAGCGTGTGCGCGGGTCGGAGAGAAAAGTTTTGACAAGAAGGGAATCTGCATTGCTCTTTATTGATCGCAGCGCGAGTGGTCTTCTGTCTAGGAGTACGGCCCTAGTAAAACAATCCTCCTCCTCATATGGAATTGGCCCCTGGTTGCGACTTAATCCAGGGGCGGGCCTTTTAACTGGTGTCCTTGAGCGTCAGGTGCAGTGTAGGTGCTTGATATGTCATCTCCAGTGACGCTGGTGTTCTCGGAGCTCGTCTCGCCGATGATGTGCCCCGTGGGGAGGGCACGAAGTTGTGGCGTCAAGAACTGGGGCTGCTGGAACTGCGTCTGGGGCATCCATTGCCAACTCCCCTGTTGCTGGGTCTGGCCTTGGGGTTGGGTTCGGCTGGCTTGTGTGTTGTATCCACCGCGACCGCGGCCGCGGCCGCGGGCGTGGGTGCTTTGGAAAGTGCTGCGGGTGTTGGCTTGGCGTCGGGGCATCGGGACGGGATCGACTGGTCGGTGGTGGTCTCGTGCGAAGTGTCCTGGTTCGCCGCACGCCAGGCAGAGGTCGTTGTCCGTGCGGCGCCTGCGTTCAGCGTCGGAGATGCGGATGCGGTCGAGTTCCATGGGGTCGCCTGCATCAACAGCTGGGGCTACTCGGTCTTGTGCGTGTGCTTCAAGGTGCGGTTTGGCTATATTTCGTAGCTTGGTGATGTGTTCTTTCTGCTGCAGGTTTCGGGCAATGTTATCGGTAACGTTGGTCCAGCCGGCGTAGTCGTCGGCGGCCGGCAGGGTGATCTGGTTATCGATGACAGCGGTGAAGGCACCGTTCAACCGTTTGCGTAGCATGTCGACTTTCGAGCGGCTGTCGAGCCTGGCTTTGTCGGCGTAGTGGTCGAAGTCGGCCTTGAAGTCGCCGTAGGCTCTGTTTCCCTGGTAGAGCGTGTCCAGCATGTTTTTCGCAGATTGGGTGCTGTCGAGCAGCATGTAGCGTTTGTCTAGCGCTTCCCACAGCGCAGCTGGGTTCTGCCAAGTCCACAATTGTGAGTTCTTCGGGTTGGGGGTCATTGTCTGGACGCCGTCCTGGACGGCATCCCAGGCCTTGCCGCCCAGCAAACTTGTGATGAACGTAAGGATGTCGAGTGCCTTCGGGAAACACTCGGCGTCGACGACTAGAATTTGTTCCACTTGGGTCTTCCACCGCTCATAGGCGCTTTGGCGTTTGGCTGTGTCCTGCTGGCCCGCGGTGAATTTGTCAGGGTTTGTTGTGGTGCGTCGGGCCTTCGGGGTGGTCCCGAAATGAATTGGAGGTCCGTTTGCCGTCGTCGCTTGGGCTAGGCGGGTTTGGAGTTCGGTTTTCTCGTCTTGGAGGGTTGAGATGCGTTCATTGTGCTGCGTGACGCAGCTGTTCAGGCGGGTAATTTCTGCGTTCAGGCCCGTGATCTTGGCACGGGTCTCCAGGAGCTCTTCTGTCTGGGTGGCAATAACCTGGTCGGGAAATCTGAGATACGCCTTGTGGCGCGAATGAGGTCGGCTTCGTATTCTTCGACGCGTTTCGTTAGTTCGGACTGGATTTGGTCACGGTGGAGGGTGGTTTCTTTCGCGTTTCGTTCGAGGCAGTCGAAGATTGCCACGAACCTGGCCTTGTCGGGACCGTCCTGGGCAATGGCGGATTGGATGAATGGGCCGGGGCTAGCGTCCGTTGGAAAGGTCTCGGAAAGAATGGCTGTGGTTAGGAGGGGCCAGTGTTGTAGGAGCGCTTTGCGAAGCTGCTCACGCTCGATGGACTCGTCGCTCATTGTGGGAGATTTTGCATGGATGGTCTTGGTGCCGGGTCGCGGAAGTCGGCTTGTTAACAGGGCATGTAGCTGGTTCTGGCTGGTTCTGGCTCTGGTTCTGGCTGGGTCTGGTGTTGGCTAGTGGCCGCGACGGGGCACAATGTTAGATCGCACAAACTGTCACGGGGCGAGGTCAGGGGAGTCGCGGGACAGGGTCAGGTTCTGGCTAATGACTGAGTTGTGCGATGAGGAGAGAGGAAGCTCTCGCAAGGGGACGCTAACGGAGAGGAGATCCTGCTGCTAGTGTGGGTCCAGGTCGCGTGGGCACGTGCTGCCCACGTGACCCAAGCAGGTCAGGCTTGGTGCCGTGACAGCCAGAGCCATGCGCATCGGCGCCAACCTCCCTGAAGAGTTGTGGAATGAGACCACAAAGGCCGCAGTCTACCTGTATAACAGGTCACCCAAGTATATCCTCGATTGGAAGTCACCGTACGAGCGGTTCCACGAAGGTCTGGCAGGCAAGGACAACGACAGCCCGACCAGAATACAACGACCGAATCAGAGCCACCTCAAGGTCTATGGGTGCAAGGCATTCGCGCTGACGCGTGGCTCTCTCAAAGGCACTGAAAGGACCAGGAAGCTGGCTCCCCGTGCATGGATCGGATACCTCGTTGGCTACGATTCCTCGAACATCTTCCGTATCTGGAATCCTGTCACTAATCAGGTCGTTCGCACACGCGATGTTGTCTTCAACGAGGAGCAGGTGTTCTCAGGATCAATTGACATGATCAAGAACGACCTTGCACAAGTCGACCTCGAACAACTGAAAGAATGGCTCAACGCCAACACGACCGAGGACAAGAGCATCGCAGAGGAGGAAGAAGAGGAAGATAGCGAGGCACAAAGCACAGGCGCCACTGTGGTATCAACAACCGCAGCCTTCGAAGATGAGGGGGTGACAGAGGTGATCGACGAAGAGGAGGAAGAAATACTGGACAGTATCACCGTCAAAGGCGACCATACATCCACCTTCGAAGACTTCTACCCGACACCACCACAAACGCCGCCCCCAGGCGACCTGCTTGCCGCAGCTTTCCACGGCATGAGAAATCTCCAAGTACACTTAGCCCACCAGTACGACGTCGCCGTAGAGTTGAGCCGTGGCACGCAGTTTTACCACGCAGGGCACACAATCGTCGCCCACCAGTAGTGGAGAGCACCCCAGGCCACCAGGGCCGGAGGTCGCCCGAAGGCAACGAAAGCCACCACGCCAGAGCGCGGGCTCCGCAACCATCACCATAGCTGAGATCAACGTGGCCAGGGCACAGCCAGGCAGTATCAACAACCTCCATCAATCTCAGCTTCCGGCCCCACCAAAACGGCATCATGACCTCGTCGAGCCGCACTTCCCAGTCATCAACCCACGAAAAGGGAAGCCACGACACCAGCGGCACCCACTGGCCGACCTATTCCTCCAGGCCGAACGAGACCACCTGCAAAGCCATGAGAAAACAGGGTCCTGGGAGGAAGTGTCGCGCCACAGCGACCAAATACAGGGCAATCAAATCCTCGATTGCATGTGGGTTTACACCTACAAATTCAACACTCGCGGCTTCCTGGCCAAATGCAAGGCGAGGTTAGTTGTCCGTGGGGACCAACAGAGGGTCAATCATGCCGAGGAGAACTACGCGGCCACTCTCGCAGTGCGGTCCTTCCGGGCAGTCCTGGCCCTAGCCGCCCGCTTCGACTTGGAACTCAAGCAATTCGATGCAGTCAACGCTTTCGTCAATGCCAAAATAGACGAGGATGTCTATATGGAGATGCCCACAGGCTACCGGAGGCCAAGCAGGGTCCTCAAGCTCAAGAAGGCACTTTATGGGCTCAGGAAGTCTCCCCTCCTCTGGCAAAAGGAATTGACAGCTACGTTGACCAAACTCGGCTTCAAGGCTCTACCCCACGAGCCCTGTATGATGATACGGAAAGGATGCCTCATCTTCTTCTACGTGGACGACATCGTCGTCGCGTATCGCAAAAACGACAGCCATATCGCCAACGCAGCGATCAGTGGGCTAAAGGCCAAATACGAGCTCACTGGTGGCGAGGACCTTCGCTGGTTCCTAGGCATTGAAATTCACCGCGACCGCGCGAGACGCTACATCTGGCTGTCCCAGACGGCTTACATCGACAAGATCGCCGAGTTGGCGCAGTCTGACGACCTCCCCCGCACACCAATGGGCCTGCGAGAGCTTCAGCCATACGAAGGGATCGCGACGAGGCAATCAACCCGCCTGTACCAGCGAAAGGTCGGTTCCATCCTTTATACCGCGGTCATCACCCGCCCCGATGTGGCCTTCGCAGTCGCCCGGTTGGCCAGGTTCAATCAAAACCCTGGACCAGAACATCACCGCGCGGCGGACCAGGTCCTGCGATACCTGCATGTAACAAGGTCTCTGGCTCTGAGGCTAGGCGGCGGCGACTACCTCCGAGTGGCCAGCGATGCCTCTTTTGCCGACAACTCCATCGACCGAAAAAGCTCACAGGGCTACGCAATTACCTTGTTCGGAGGTCTCATCGCCTGGCGCGCCAGCAAGCAAGACACAGTAACCACCTCAACCACCGAGGCAGAACTCCTCGCCCTGGCGCAAGCGGCCAAAGAAGGACTGTTTATCCAACGACTGATCGCTGAAATGGCGATCAAACTCGACGACGACGTCCTGGTTCTCGAATGCGACAATACCAACACAATCTCCCTTGTGACGAAAGAAATCGCCGTCCTCCAAACGAAGCTCCGGCACGTGGACATCCACAACCACTGGCTCCGACAAGAATATCAACGCGGGAAGATCCACGTAAAATACGTGCCTTCCAAGAAAATGGTGGCCGACGGCCTGACCAAGGCGCTCAACGCAGACAACCACCAGGAGTTCGTCAGGATGCTGAATTTGGAGGACATCCAGTTACTCACTTGACGAAAACCCAAGCAGGGCCGCCAAGCACGGAGTAACGGGCCAAGGATAGAAAGAAAACACCGAGAAATGAAGATCACGGGAGGACATTCAGCCTCATGATTACCCAGTTAGGACAGGAGGCACGGGGCGCCTCCTGAGGGGGTGTGTCAGAACAAGCCCAGAGCGGCTTGCGCCTAGGACCTGGGTCACGTGACCCGGGGGGCCAACCAAATTACTGGTCGCCAGAAAATTAGACCAGTTCAACAAGTTGAATAAGAACAACGAACAACAAGCACTGCAATTGACAGCCATCAACACCCTCTACTCCGTTCCTTTTGACCCAAGCCTTCAGTGATCTGCTCAATGCCTTGAAATACCGCTGGTTCCAACATCTTGCCGCTCTGCCCGTTTCCCCTAAGCATGAGTCTGCATCTGAAGAGAAGGATTGTATTGACATCGTTTCAGTCGACGGCTACACGTTCGACCAGATTGTCGCATACATCGTTGACGCCCGCCGCAGCGGAACCGAATCCATCATCAGCTTGCGCTACCCGGCTGACCCCGCGTGGGACCTGGGCGTGCGTTTGGACGAAAAGCTGGTTGATCTTGACGAATTGAAAATCCGCCGATTCGAATACGACTACCAGTCCGGCATTGCCTATATCGACATTAGGCCTGAAACCAGCCTCCATTCTGAATTCTAATATGGTGCTCAGCGATACTTCCTATCCAGCCTTGCTCGATTCACCGCAACCATTCAAGATGCCGCCATTCGTCAACGGATCATCAAGCATACCCGCAATTTTGGGACATCTGACCTTGCAGTAAAGGGTACCATCCTCAAACAAGCCGACTTCGCATTTGGGTTCGCCATGAACCCCCTACCTTGCCTGGTTGTTGAGGTCTCGTAGGGCGAGTCTCAACACCATGTAGAGAGAAAGCTTCTGGATTACGTCGAGCTTACTCGGGGCAAAGTCCAAGCAGCCGTCGCCCTAAACGGGCAATACCCAAGTGGCAGAAACGCTCAGGTGGCCCTGCGTGTGGTAGATGGCGCTACCACAGGCACTTGGGTCAAGTATTTCGACACCGTGTACGATGAGGACTTCGTACAGCAATCTGACGGCCAACTTGAGCTCTACATCTCCGACTTTTTTGGTCCCGCCGGCCTCCCAGCCAGTTTTTGCCGCCCTTCCGCCGCCGAGCTTGCTAGCGGAGTCTCGCGGTTTGTTCCCCGTCCTCATTCCCCTTCTCTAAAAGCAAAGCTAACAACTTAACAGGGATCTCCAGGTCATCCTGACCTATAAACGCCTTCGAAGCATCTTCCTCAAAGGCCCGGAGCATTCATCAAGGGACATAGCCTGGTGATGGCTATGATGATGTGGAGAACGATTTCACCATATTCGAAGAAGCAGAGTCAGAGCGTCAGCGTGCAAATGAATTAGCCCGGCGTGGAAATGAGGCCACTCAGCGTGCAGATGAGTTAGCGCAGCGTCTCAATGAGGCGATGCAAGAAATTGCCACACTGAAGGAGTAGCTGCATCTGGCGTCAGTTTAGTACCGGACGTAATAGCTGGTTTTATAGGGCTCAGAAATGGATGGCCCGCCGTTGAACTCTGAAGCGTTGGTACACGAGGCGAGCCACAGCGATGACATGGGCGAGGTCCCGGATGGTGTTGATCTTGAGCAAGCTCTTGTCGAACAACGTAGGCGGTCAACCACCACCAAGAGAGGCAGTTGTGGGAGACGGTATGGGGCGTCCTTCTTATCCTCCGTCTGCGCCTCTGGAGCCTCATGGGCCATTTTACGAGCCTCGAGAACAAGAGGTGGGATCCGTGATGGCGAGGTGGATGCCCTTGTTTAGCCAGTCGTTGTTTGAGGAAGTGACAGGAAAATATAAAGCCGCGCCGACAGCTATCATTGAATGCCACATCTAGTCCGTTCGCCATGGAGCTGGCCGCGTAGATCTCACGGCTGAACATTGTACTTGGACGAAATGATATTGTGGTCAACCGTCAATGCGAGTTTACCCCTGCTGTTGTAACGAGAATATCACCGGCCGCCCATCCATCAAGACACACACAGTCGCAGCATTCAACAAAATGAGCGCAAGAGGGCTAGCGCGGAGCCCGATCACAACCAGACCAAGAACTCTTTTGCCGTCAAGGCCGTCGGCCCGAAAACAAGGAGCAGAAAAAGGAGCTGTGGCGCACCGAGACCACCGGATGGAACTTGTCTGAGTCAGCTCTCCACGCCCGATGAAGTAATTATCGAACGGTGTGCATTAATGCGGAGTTGTCAACCACTGTTCTCTATGTTGGCTGTGTCATTCAGTCGACAATGGTAGCCGAGATGGCCGCTCTACCGTGTGATTGACTTTGCTGTTGGCTACCTCCCCAGGCATCCAAGACAAGCCTCCTGCTATGGGCGGTTCACAAGAGGCCAATCACCAGATAGGTAAGCAACCTCTTGTGTAACCAGGCTGGGACAATCTGCAACCTCGTCTCCGTCTTCCGAGACGGACCGCATTCCTCCACCCCCCACCCGCTGCCGGCTCTCCCGGCACGCCCGTTCGGTGAGCGTATGAGGTACCTCTATCTTGCCGAGAGAGTTTTTCCTCCTCCCGGCTCACCTGTTGCACCTTTTCACTGTTGCCAGATCGCCTGGCAACCGTTGTGGCATATTCCAGATATGGGCCCATGTAAACAGTGGGCCATACAGATCCACAAACACTACCTACATAGGTGCACGTGAAACCACAACTACATGGGCGCGATCCGATGATCGGGCCTAAGAAGTTGCGTTGTCAGAGAATTGGCGGCGAAATCGCGGTGACCGAGTTGACTTCTTGCATGTTTGATCAGATCATTCATGACTGATCGGCGTCGCAGCAAGCAATATACGGAATACCTACCTGTGTATACGGTATAGTTCTGATAACAAGTATAGGATAATTGACCGCTCTGTTGCTAGAGTAAGACATATCTCGGACATTATGACCATTCCTCACGCTACACTCTCCCTTTGGGCCGTGACAAAATCACGGAATACTTCTATATAAAGGCCAGCAGCGTACCTAGCTCTAGCTACCTTACCTACTTCTATATCCACCCCAACACCCTCCAACCACACCAAACCCCAGCGCATCCTCAAGCCAGGCATCATGAGAACTGTCGTTTTCGCCCTTGCTGCAAGCCTTTGGGCGACTGCTTGCACCGCGCAATGTGTTCAACGGTGTACCGACTGCCCAGGTGGTACATTTTGCGTGAATGACCCTCAAATTGTGCGTATCAGCCGGCACAAACATAAATATATCTCAGCTAACATGATATTCCAGTGTCCGCCGCAAGGAGTATGTCTCGACTGTATAACAGCCAACCCTTCCGTACTAATTACCAACACACTTTCAGGGCAACTTCTATTTGGCGTGCGTGGACTCTAGCGGGTCCTAAAAACAAAACTATGACGGCTCATGGTCAAGGAATACTTTTCGTTACAGGTCGGTACGGGGAGGTTCAACACCTGTTCTTATCGATGATGGCACTATTGTTGGCAGAAGTATCAGGGCACGCCACGCGTCACCTCGCCGGTGGCTTATCAATCCCGAGTAATTGAGTTCGTACAATGACAAACACAGTTAGCTCGATGGGCCACTCTGCCAGCTACCTTACTTATGCTTTCTTCTTGCTCTCGCTCTTGGCCACAGGCGCACCCGTCTTTGGCTCGTTTTCGGACCCAGGGTCGTCCTCGTAGCTACCGCTGTGCGCTTCATATTCCCTCGCCAACTTCATCCCTTTCCAAGCTGCCCACTGCCCCTTGCCATCTCCGGATTTGTTGGGCTCCTGTTGGATTTCTGTCCATAGGGGCAGCCCTGACCGGAATGCGACCATAACGCTCTTTACCTGTTGCCTACCTAGGTACGGGATCATCGCCTTGCCTTCCTCGAGGTGCCCCCGGAGTTTTGGGTCGGTAGCACCGGGCAACGGGGGGATGCCTTTGCCACTTGGCATTTTCGGTCTGCAAGGGAAGGAAAGGGATTGACTAGGTAGATAAATATTAAGTTTAAAGCCCAACTTGTTCTCAAGTCATCAAAACGCTCACTTCAATGCCATTGGTGGAGAATTATATGGCGGTTGCGCTCCAGACACGTGCCCTGTACCCCAGCCTTCCCCATGTGATATGGGGCGGCGGTCATCATTCAGGGGGAGTGATCATCGTTGTCACCTCGGGCTCGGGCCACCTAAGGTTGAATTCAGTTGTTGTTTCGTTTCAGATTCCCATGTCCGTCCTGCCCTAAGCGGGCGGCGGCATCTACACTTCCGGGAGCCCAAGGTAACCCCACACCTACGCAGGTTAACGATCCCTCGGGGCTCCCTACCCTGGTTGGAGGAAATGTCCGGTCTACGTAGAAATGAGGGTCTCCGCAAATACCTATGCAGAGGGATGCTGGCACTGGGAGCAGCGGAGGTATGTCACCAACCGCACCAGTCCCACCACTGATGTCCGGAGATGAGGTTGCTTCCCACAACGCTTCCGAGGCCAGGGTAACATACCTAGTCAAAGAGTTGCTGTTAAGTTTTGTGGAGGAGCACTCCCTGTGCTCCAACTTCCCAGAGAGCGCATTCTGATTCGTGTAGAATTCCTTCGACATTCGTCCGCGGCCGTCAAGCTCTACCTTGGACATCGAGCTACCTACCTAGGTCATGTAGGCAGGTAGAAGTCGAATATGATGGATATAAACGGGCAAGTTGCCCTCGCAACATCATGCTTGATCCCTCACCACCACCGAACTCCTCACTCGTGCAAGACCTTTCAGGGCGCCTCAGAGAAACAAAACCGAATATGAAGTTCCTCTTCACCGCCACCATTGCCACGCTGGCGAGCTTCGTTGCCGCCACGCCTACCCAAGTCGTCAAGCGTGCCAGCCCCGAGGACAAGTGTGACATTGGGTATGCTTCCATTAACGGAGGGTAAGTCTTGATTCAATTTTATCCATCCCCACTATCCAGTTGCCTGATATCACTAATGTCGAGCTCCTATAGTACGACTGGAGGCGCGGGTGGTACAACCACAACCGTTTCCAACCTCTCTGACCTGACCGCTGCTGTCAAGGGTGATGCCAAGAAGATCGTCTTGGTTTCCGGCAGTATCAGCGGCACCGGCTCCATCAAAGTTGGGGCGAACACGAGTCTTCTCGGAAAATCTGGTGCCTGTAAGCCGGCTTCTCTGAGCACTGCGATTCGTTGCCACAGAATTGCTGACAAGCCACGATCACAGCCATCACCGGTGTCGGCCTCACCATCAAGGAGGCCAACAACGTCATCATTCGCAACCTGAAGCTCAGCAAGGTCAAGGGCGGCGATTGCGTGGCTGTCCAGGAGGCCAGCAACATCTGGCTTGATCACCTTGATATCAGTGGCGACCTCAGCGCCGACAAGGACTACTACGACGGCCTCCTGGACATCACACACGCAGGCGACTACGTCACCGTCTCGAACAGCCACTTCCATGACCACGTAAGTCTTGATGCTCGCACCAGTATAAATACGTACCCAGCCGCTTACCCAATCACAATCAAAACAGTGGAAGGCTTCGCTTGTCGGCCACTCGGACAGCAACGCCGCTGAGGACACGGGCAAGCTCCGTGTCACGTATGCCAACAACAAGTGGACCAACATCAACAGCCGCACGCCCTCGATCCGCTTCGGCACCGGCCACATCTACAAGTAAGCGGCCATGGCCATGCCCATGCCCATGCACGAGCTGCCTTAGGAAAGGAAGTAGTTGGCTGACTCGTGCGACCTCTCCAGCAACTACTTCGACACCATCACCACGTCGGGCGTCAACACGCGCATGGGTGCCATCGTATTCGTCGAGTCGAGCACCTTTGTCAACGCCAAGCGGGCCATCACCTCGATCGACTCGGACGTCGACGGCAAGGCCGCGGTCAAGGACGTCGACCTCGGCGGCTCGACCAACGACGCCCCGGCCGGCTCCCTCTCGGTCCCCTACTCCTACAGCGTCGTCGGCTCGGCCAACGCCAAGAGCAGCAACGCCAACAGCGGCGCGACCCTGTCCTTCTAAGGGCTTGTTACCGTGCCGTGGTGATGACGGGGAAGGCTCCTGGAGGCTTTTCCGGCTTACGGATTGGAGGTATTGTGAAGGAAGTGGGGAGATGGTGTTAGGGTTCCATCCCGAGGGCGCGGGTTTCCCTACCATACAAATAGTTTAAGCAGCCCCGTCCATATAGGTCGATAGACCGGACATGGTGGAATCATGGAATCAGGATTATGCCGCTCAAAATGTTGCTGTCTCTCTTGGTCCATATATGATATACATACAATATCAGTCTGAGTGGATCTAACGCAGATCCTCCGTCACCATTCCCGGTTTCTCAGAGCCTGTTCTCGATCTTTGCCATCGAGAAGGTAGCCGTGGACCGCAAGCACCATGCCAATGCAGCAACCCTGCCCAGACATCAGTGCCATCCATGCATTGCGCGATTTCTTGTGGGACTCCTCGATTATCATTATTATTCATACTCCGCTATGCCCTAGGGCGTGCCGGACCCTCAGCTATTTAGTGTACAGGAAAACCGTGCCCTCCCGGGCCGGGTGAAAAACCCATACCAACAATCAAGGAACGATGCGTTCTGGTGAGTCTGCGTATACAAAGAGAGGAGGCCTCCTGGCCTCCGAACGGGGGCGCTTCAGGCCGCCGCTTCCAGCTCGAGCCTCCTGGCTAAGTTGTACATCGGCAGCTTCCCCGAGTCCATCAGCCAGTCGAGAACTCTCCTCGCGAGCCGTGCAGTCGTGGGATTGATGCCGTGTAGAACAGAGTAAAAGTCCCGTCGTGTCCGAATTCCAGTTCTCTCCCATCTTCGAGTCAACGGTGGTTCTCGATTATTAGACAACATCAAAATTGACGGTTCAAACTAGATGATCCCATATATTTTGCACATACTTACAAAGTAGATTCTCAGTACTTCGTACATTAATCAACGCGTGTCACGCCCTTGGCACGCACGCGACTAGAAATAGGGTCCGCCTTACCCACCCAGAAGCGCCGACGGCTGAAATATGATGAGGGCGCGGTCAGGGGGCCTGCCAGTCACAGCGCCTAGGCGCTCTCAATATCCGGGTGGGCCGCGTCTGCTTCGCCAATTTAGCCAATTCCCGGTTCCCAATTCTCAATTCCCAATCCCCGGTCCCGCTCGGACGCGGTTGACTTCACAACCAAACATACGTCAACCGCCCCCCTTGCCGACAACGCGCAGCTGAGTTCCGACCTTGGAGTTCTTCACCGTAGGGGAGGCTCGCGGGTGCTTGATGAGAATCGGCAGGACGAAAGCACCATAACTGATGGCAACATCCATGTCAGCCAATGCAACAGCTCTCCCCTCCCTCCCCCCGGTCAGGTAACCCTCGGCTCTGTCGGACCCGCTGGCGAGCACCCTCGAACCGACAAGGATGGTTGTTTACATCAATCTCGCGACCAATCCACACGGGAGAATCGGTATTTCTGTGATATGGGTCATGACTATCCTCTCCGGCGCATTCCTTGCTCTTCGACTCTATAGCAAAGTCAGCCGTCGTAGGCAGATCTGGTGGGACGATTATCTGATCGTGATCTCTTGGGTATGGTCTTCCTGGGGTGCCCGAGGTGCTCAACCACCAAACCCGACTCGAAATCGTATCTAATGAGGTTTCAAGGTCATGCTCCTTGTCAGCTGCTCAACATCGACAGCAAACAGCCTTCTCGGGTTCGGTCTACCCTTTCGTGAAATACCGTTCGAGAATCTCGTCCGCCTCGGTATCCATAGTAACATCTCCGGTTTCTCCTCCGTCATCGCAGTGGCCTGTAGCAAAACATCTTTCGGCCTCACCCTGCTTCGACTGACGGATGGCTGGATGAAATGGTACATCATCGGGCTCCTTACGCTCCTCAATATCACTCACTACGCTAGCGCGGTTTTCTTCTGGACATCATGCAACCCTCCGGCCAAGACATGGAACCCGACGATCCCGGGTGAATGCTGGCCTATCTCCGTCACGGTCAACACCAGCATGTTTTTCGGATGTGAGCCAAGACCACCTCTTCCAAACCCAGGGCTCGCTTGTTCCTAACTGACGCGTGTGGCCCCATCAGCTTGCTCGGCATTATGTGACTTCTCACTCGCCCTGCTTCCCTGGAGGTTCTTGCTCAGGTTCGACATGTACAACAGGGAAAAGATTGGTGCGGCCATTGCCATGAGCATGGGCGTTGTGTAAGTAGCCCCGTGTCTTTCTTTTCTCGATCAATAGCTCATGAATTTCTCTAGTGCTGGAATATCTTCTGTGGTCAAAATGACCACCATCCCCCCTGTCTTTTACAGCGGCGACTTTAGCTGTGAGGCCCCTTTCACTGCTTTTCCTGGCAATCCCTTTCTGACTATTCGCCCTCCTATAAACAGACAACGCTCTTCCTTTAGTAATATGGGGCTTCAGCGAGTCCTCCCTCACAATAATGGCCGCCTCCATTCCCATGATGCGCCATCTTTTCAAATCATTCCGCCGCGACAACAACATACCGACCACCGCTGCCACTACCAGCGTTAATCTCACCATCGGTACTGCCCGCCGTAATCCTATCGGCACGAATCACCTTACCATGAGCGGTTCGACAGCTGGAAGCCGCGGGGGCACGCTTGCCGCAACCAATAGCGGCCACGACGATGACCTTGATGTTAATACCAAGAGCGGAACCGTGGAGCGGAGGAACTGGAACCAGCAGCAGGCTTCACAACCCCAGACCACCGAGAAGCCATCCACCGCCGACAGGCACTATGGGGGATGTTCATAGTTCCTGTTTTCGTTTTGCCTCACGGGGCGTTGGGGGGACGGAGCATCCGCCGGCGCATACCACACCACATAATATCTTACAAAGATGTCTGAATTCATCGCTCGGTCCGGGACATGGTCTTTGGGTTCCTGTTAATTACAGCATTCATTCAATCATAATGGTATATATACAACATCACCACACCCCTCCTCTTACGCATTATCATCCCAGGTCACGGCCCTGCCGCGCGCCCAGTCCCGGATGCCCTCAAAGTTCCTGCACGTATGCAGCGTCGAAAAGTCCGGCCACGGGTCATCATCACCCAGCTCCGGATACACCTTGAAGGTAAACACGCCGATATCCGCCTGGCACATCAAATTCATGCGCAGCGTCTCGATGCAGTGGTCTGTCACGGCAACACGCATTAGCCCCGATCTCACCCACCCCTTACAACCACGCCCACAACCAAGACCACAACAGACACCCAAGAAAAAAAAAGAAGGAAAAAAAAACATACCAACATGCCCCCTCACATCCGCCGCCGGCGCATCAATATCCCCGCCCTCCGTCGCGTAGTACTCCTTATACGAGAACTGCCGCAGCAGGTTGAGGCAGTGCAGCTGGTGGAAAACCTCGATGGCGGCGCGGTAGCCAACCCGGCCCGTCTTGGGGTCCGTGATCTTGAGCGAGTCCGGCGAGAGGCCGAGGCGGGTGACCTCCTCGAGGGTGATGGACATGTCGCCGACTGTGGGTGGGGGTGGGTGTGTTAGTGGGGGGTGTTTTATGTATGAGGGGGGGAAGGGCTGGGGGGGGGTGGCTTGCCTCGGGAGATTTGCTCCCATGCTTCGTCGACTTCGGGGCCCTTGCCGACGTAGGGCGACCAGTCCATGTTGGGGGTTAGGTTGTACCTGTGCGTGTCGTATTGGACGATGGGCGCGGCGGGGGCTGGGTTGGGAGAGGTCAGTGAGCGGTACGTCAGGAAGGTTTCCTTGGGCTCTCACTGGGAGTTAATACTTACAGTATGTGGAGTATTGCGTGGTGACGGCCAGACTGGAGGGCTTCGCATACCTCATGCAGGTGGCGAGGGTGAAGAGGGTTGTTGATATGGAGAGCAACGCGATGTGCCCGATCCATAGCCAGTGGTTGGCTGTCTTTCGTGCCTCCTGTATCCGGTATGCCTCATCGGCGCTTGGTCTTGTTTCCCAGGAACCTGCCTCGGATGGTTTCTCGTCGTCCAAAGGGACGGCCTCATAATCGTCTCTTGGCGCCATGGTGGGTTGGCGATATCAAGATACAGTTTGGGAATGTAATCGATGAACCATACGAGAGGGATGGTTCAGGTTCAAGAAGGGGAATCCGGGGACTAAGCTAAGGTAGCCAAGAGGTGAATGAGAACTAGAACCTCAATGTCGCCGTTGGGGTGGCGCTGTTAGGTTCTTTGAAACTGTCTAGAGTGTCCCGAATCCCCCAGGTATCAGGGGTAAGACTGTAAGAGGGCAAGACGAGGCGAGCACTCTGGGAATCTAGGGGTAGGGTTAAGCGGGAGATCGGAGAAGAGGAGGATCAAAGCGAGAGACGCATGGAGTGGATGGGAATCATGGATTTTCATGTCGATTGTGCCGGGAAGCAGGCAAGCATAGGTAGGTACCTAGTTGGCTGGACAAGAAGGCCCCTGGCCATGGGTGGTCTGGGACACAAACCGACCTCCCCGACCTCATGTGTGAACCATAATGTGAGGCACAGTCGGGTTTCAACTCGGCGCTTCAAGGGTCGAGTAACGGGGAGCCCACTGCCCCATTCATCATCCACGCGAAGCCCGAAGGGACATGACATGAGACGAAATAACTTGACCCCAATTGCTGAATGCGGTGTGGCACGGTGCACTTTGTGTTTCGTCTTGGTAGGCGAGGAAGGTTGTATGTGGGTTGTATGTGGGAGATTTTCCAGGTTGCAGTTGGCCCCAGGGCCCAAGCTCACCACAGTCAGGCGGCAGCTTTCTCGATTGGGTTGGGAAAATGGTCAAGCGATCTGTGTCAGGAAGGACCCGTCCCAGGCCAACCATGGGGCAGCCCGCACCAGCGTTTTAAGTCTTGGCGAGTATGCTAAGCATTGGCCAAGCCCACTGCCGAACAAGCCCCTTGGCACTTGGCTCGGACCGTGAGACTGTTTTGACAGGCGGCAGCCCTGAACCAATGCAACCTTTCGCACTCGCTTTCGAGCGCTGTTCTTGGCTCATCGCCTTTTGTCAACGAGGTCAACCTCACACCCAAAACACCAGGGCCCATGCCATCCATCAGTCTGATACTCATGCGATTTCATCCCATGTCCTCGCAGTTCCAGGACTCTTGTTGATCGGCGTATCGCCAAGGGGCATCATGCAACGACGGACATGGGCCATGGCTCAAGTTTCCTTTTTCTATGATTGAAGGTTTGAAAAATGTACTAGGAATTTCGCACGCAGTCGCATTCACGAATGATGGATAATAGATACAAATATCAACGGATGCTCTCAGCTTGAACCATCTCTTCCCTCTCTCCACTCACCAGCCCACCTTCACTTCCCTAGGTTGTCTCCGCCGCTTTTACTTTCTTTCCTACCTTCACTTCTCGATTTGACTATCGTCACTCCTTAGCTGCCGGTCAGCCTTTTTGTTAAGAAAAATAAACTAAACTCATATCCAAGATGCACACTACTTTCGGCCAGTTCCTCGTCGCCAGCGTGATCGCCGCGTCGGCGGTCTCGTCACTCTCCTTTGCTCCGACCGGCAATGAGGTGGCTCGCCTTGTGGTATGTTGATCCCTTTAGCGTCGGGATTATGCAAATCTCCCGTCCAGGACTAACCCAGTATCAACCACAGATTCCCGCCTTGGCCTTGGCAGCTCCCGCTTATGGTCTGCCTACCCTCCAGGCTCGCTCTGTAAGTTACTGACGACCTCAGTCGCTCAATACCCGTCTCGGTGCTCATGCTGACTTTATTCATAGCCTCACCACCAAGGAGGCGGCGGAGGCAGGGGCAAGGGCAACGGCCGCAACGGCGCCCGGGACCTGACCGATGATGATGATGATGATGATGATGATGACGAGCCCGAGCTCGAGTCCCGTTCGCCCCACCACCAGGGCGGTGGCGGCGGCGGCCGAGGCAAGGGCAACGGCAGGAACAACGCCCGTGACGTTGAGACGCGTGAGCCCCATCACCAGGGTGGTGGTGGAGGTGGGCGTGGCAACGGCAATGGCAGGAACAACGCTCGGGATGTTGAACTCGAGACTCGTGAGCCTCACCACCAGGGCGGTGGAGGTGGAAACCGAGGCAATGGCAACGGCAATGGTAGGAACAACGCCCGTGATGTTGAGGAGCTAGAGACTCGCGAGCCGCACCACCAAGGAGGTAACGGTGGAAACCGGGGAAACGGTAACAACCAGAACGGTGGTCGGGACCTTGAAGGGCTTGAGATTCGCGAGCCTCACCACCAGGGCGGAGGTGGCAACAGAGGCAACGGCAACGGCAACGGCAACGGCAACGGCAGGGGTAACAACTAAGCCAAGAGCCGAATCACCACCATGGACATCCTTCTCCATCACCTTCCCCTCACCCTTCAAGCCTTGAAATTGTTAGCAAATCGGAGCTGTAGTATAGGGATCCCATTACGAACTCGGCAGTGTATATAGGTACCTCATTAATTCGCGATTTTCGGGACTATCCTTGCACGAGAGAAGAGGGCAGAGGCGCCCCACAGCGAGCATCGTGCCAAAAGGGATCTGCGCAATGATCGGCTTCTATGCAGCTAAGCTCGCCAGCTCGGTGGGATTTGGGCGTCGATCATCCTATGCAGAATCGCAATGCCAAGTGATGAGTGGCAAGCAGTCAATGACGGCCCGGAACCACATCCGCCCACAAACAAGAGCTGGACGATGATGCATCTAAGTTCAGGGGTATCAACAACACCTCGATTAACGTGCCATTTCCACGCCAGATGGGATGAGTCAAAAACCAGAATTAAATTGCGCTGAAAACAATACCATTAACCATAAACCCACATTTCGTAGCAATCTCCCCTAGGTATCCCGCCCACAAGTGACAAACCTGACTCAACCCCCCTTCCCAAACCCACACCCCCTTCACCCCGACAACCTCCCCCCATGCTTCCGATCCCCCATCTCCACCAAACTCGCCTCATCATCATCATCATACTGCACCGCAAACGTCTGATGCCTCACAATCCCCATCCCCTTCACCACCGCCACCGAGTCCGCGCTCGCCGAGCTCGGCGGCACACTATTCGCCCCCTCCCTATCCCCACAATCCAGCTCATCCAAATCCACATCCCTATCCCGCGACACCGCCGTGCTCGTCAAGTTCCCCAACGGGCGATGCCTCCCGGACTGCACCAGCCGACTCCCCTTCGCCCCCGTCCCACCACCCGTGCCCCCCGTCCCGGACCTGCCCGCCCCTCCCGCACCGGACTTCCCACCCCCGCTGTTGTAATACCCACCACCAGCACCGCCGCCGCCGCCGCCGCCGCCGTAGCCGTAGCTGCGGCTGGTGGTGCCGCCGAGGGCGGGGAAGAGGCGCACGAGCAGGAGCCGCAGCGTCGGCATGCACGTGCACATGATGCCGACGTTGATCTCGACGGTCGACCAGAGTGAGACGGGGAAGTTGTCCCAGGTGGCGTTGCTGGATTGTGCGAAGGTCACGAGCGCGTGGAGGCGGATGATGGAGACGATGGTTACGCTGTGTGCGGGGAGGGGGGGTTAGTTACTGATCTTTTTTTGGGGGGGGGGTGGGCGATGGGGGATGAAAAGAAAGGGACGGGAAAGGGGGTGGACATACAAGGTGCCGACGACAAACATGAGGGCTACGCCAATCTTCTTCTTCCAATGCAGGTTGAGCGACTTGATCTGGGCGAGTGGGATGGCCAGCATCCAGAAGTCGAGGGCGATGCTGATGGCCGCGTTGGCCCAGGCGATGGCGTTGGAATTCAGGCACTTCCCTTCGTGCTCGCCATCCCAGTTGTTCCAGAAGTGGCTGATGGGCCTGCACTGAAGATGGCGATGAAGAAGAAGATGACACGACACGACGTTGAAGATGACGGTGCCCCAGAGCAGCCGCCGCACGGTCGGGCTCGGGAAGATGCGCAGGTAGAACAGCAGCATGCACAGCTTCACCAGCATGACCTGCGCAAAGTACAGCATGGCCATGATGTAGAAGTAGAAAAGGAAGTTGGTGATGTTCTCTGGGGTCAGCGTCCAGATGTCACGCCCCACGCCGTTGGGCGTCGTGCCGATGTGGATGATGACGATGCTCGGGATGGCGAAGGCCACCAGCAGCGAGACCACATAGTCGTCCGGCGACATACTGCGTGTCACCAGCAGCTTGAAGCCTATCCGCAGGGCCACGATGCCGCACGATATCGAGGCCAACACGATCGAGGTCGCATCGTAGGTAAGAGCCCGGTCCCGAACCGGTACACCACATGTCGTACTGGTAGCGTTCTTGGCCACTGTTCGCAGACCCCCCGAGTTAGCCACTTTCAGGATGTGACGGGTTGGGATCACAAAAACAAGTGACTCCTTCACGGTGCAGTTGGCCGTTACGCATATGGTGATCTCGCGCTGGAGAGGTGCGTTCGTGCAGATGCACGCCGGCGTGGGGTCCTTTGCACAATCTGACTTCAAGACGCCTTCAACCAAGCAGTCGGCCTATCGAGCAGGTAGGGAAATCAGTGGCAGTCCCTCATATCCCAACAACGTCGTAGGGCCACCCCTAAGGACTAAGGACTCAACATACCGCGCATTTGGGGAGCGCTTGGAGCGCCGCAGCTGTATCATCCTGCGCGGCCACCAGCGGCACGACAGCCGCCAGGAGCCCTACAACAAGTCCAAAGATAGCTCGCATATCGTAGTCAAAGGCGTGTCTGTGTGTGCGCAGGCGAGCAAGACGCACTGGCGGAAGGAGAGGAGGGGCGGGCGGGGGGCCGGCAAGACAAGAGAGGCCCTTCTTCTTCTATCGACAAGAAGAGAGCTCTGCTGGGTGTGGGACCGATCCCGGGCGAAGGGTTGACAGGAACGATCATCGGGTCCCCGCCTTATGAGATGCGTTGCCCCGTGGCAAAACTACCGACAGGCATGATCCGGGGTAGCCCTTGCTATGCCCCTCGGTTGCATTGTGCGGAACGAAACCACACCGGTGTGGTGGAGTTTTGGGCCTGGGCTTTGGACGAAAACGCTCTCTCGTCCCTGGTCTATTGCTTGCGTGCAGTGGGGTGATACTGGACGACACTAGAGTCTTGGACCTTGGCCGCTTGGCCGCTTCGCGAGCACACAGACGAAGCCATGAGGGCCGAGGGGGTGTGATGAGACCTTCGCCATCCCGGATCGGGGTTGGCCTCCCGCTGTAACAGACTACATACATATGCCCAGACTGTCACAGGCCGGTAAACCACCGGCAGTCGGGTATTGTCGGTAGGGAGGGCACGCACGGCCGGTCCATGGCAGTTGAAGATTTGTTGCACTTGAACAATATTTGACGCTCGCCAGAGGTACCCCGGCCGTAAGCAGGTGATGGGCCTGCAGGGAGCGGGTCGATGCGTCCGCTGATCTCAGGGGTCAGAACCAAGCCTTGCCCAACGAGTTGCCAGACGCCCGGAGACGGTGTTGCATCGTCGCTAATCTTGATTTTGCTCCCCACAAAAGACCCGGCCGAGACGTGACTCGTGTTGAGACACTTCTCGGGGCATTTCCCACATTTGCGCCGAACAAAACTCAGGGCCGAAGGTGTGAGTGGATACAGCATGAACCATTTTGCCCCCAGCCATCCAAAAACGGCTCTGGCCCAACTGTTAGCGCCGGGAGAGTCCTGTGTCTGGATCTTGCACACCGGCGCCACGTGGTTGTGGGCTGGCGCCAGTCCTATTCAGCTTTGCCCAGAGATGCAGTGAGCGGATGTGTAGCCTAGTTTGCTACCATCTCCGGCTTCTATACCAGGGATATCGAGGAACCCGTTCTCGGACGCAACGGCTAGAAGAAGTCTGGTCCCCCCCCACCCACACCCAGAAGAAAGAGGCAGCCGAGGCCCGTGGAAGGCACGAACAATCGACAGACTCGGAACGGTTGGGGAGGCTATAAGGCCTTGGCAACTCCCAGGCCAAACGAACTATTGACTATCTACTTGGTTTTTGTCCGTCCTCGCTTGCCGTCGGTCATTCTTTTGCTGTCCTTGCCTGGCATCTCTCGCTTCGCTTGAGAGACCAAACACTCCGTCCACTCGTTTCCCGAATCCCAACTCCGGCGTTATCATGAAGTCGGTCGCCCGTGCCATCGTGCTCGCGGGCTGTGCTGTCAAGGTTGGCTCAAGCCAGTGCCTCTCTCTCCCGGGAGACCCTAACTGGCCAAACGCTACTTTATGGGGGAAACTGAACAACACCGTCGGAGGCCGGCTAGTTGCTACGGTACCCATCGGTTCCGTCTGCCATGAACCAAACTACGATCCCGTGGCATGCACGCTTTTGCAGCAGAAATGGATGGTACCAGGAACACAGTTCGTTGCCCCTGTTGTTATATTTTGAATATTGATGACTAACATACCTAGCTTGGAATCATCCTCGTCTGTCATGCAGCCGTACTTTGCCAATCAAAGCTGTGACCCCTTTACGTCGCCGTCGACTCCCTGTGAGTTGGGCAACTATGTGAGCTACGCTGTCAACGTTTCCGGCGCCGCCGATATCCAGGCCACCGTGAACTTTGCCAGGACGAATAAGGTCCGTCTTGTCGTGCGTAACAGGGGTCATGAGTAAGTAGAACTCTGCTTAATCTCTTTCTCTCTCCCTCTTTTCTTGCCTCACCCACTAACCGAAAACTCTCCAGGTACTTAGGACGCTCAACAGGAGCTGGCGCGCTGACCATATGGACCCCACCATCTCAACAGCATCGACTTCATCCCCCTGGTCCGATAGCTACTTCACCGGCACAGCCATGAAGATCGGTGCCGGTGTCATGGGCTACCAAGCCGCCGAAGCCGCCGATGCTGCCGGCGTGGTGGCTGTGACAGGCGAGTGCCCCACCGTCGGCCTCGCCGGCTTCACCATGGGCGCCGGACACTCCTCGCTCAGCTCCAGCTTCGGCCTCGGCGCCGACCAGGTGCTGTCTTACGACGTGGTGACGACCGACGGGCGCCTCGTGACCGCGTCGCCCACCGAAAACAGCGACCTCTACTGGGCCCTTTCGGGCGGCGGACCCGGCACCTACGCCGTCGTCGTCAGCATGACAGTCAAGACCCATCCTCAAGCCCTAATCGGCGGCGCCAGCCTGCAACTCTCCGCTGCCTACACCACCCAAGCCAAGTTTGACGAGGCCCTCACCGCCCTCCACGCGCTCCTCCCCAACATGACCGACCAAGGCGCCCACATCATCTACACGGCCACCAACCAACTCCTCCAACTCAACCCCGTCACCATCTACAACAGCACGGGCGAGCACATCCGCGACACGGTGCTCGCCCCCTTCCTCACCACCCTCACCACCCTCGGCATCCCTTTCGCCACCAAATACACCACCCTCCCCTTCCTCGCCCACTACGACACGTACATGGGGCCCCTCCCCAACGGCAACCTGGCCGTATCCGCCTACCAATTTGGCTCGCGCCTCATCCCGCGCACCATCCTCCAAACCCCCAGCACCAACACCGCGCTTCAACTAACCCTCCAAAACCTCACCGCGCAAGGCCTCATCCTCGCCGGCAGCGCCGCCTCCTACGCCACCCCCCCCAACACCCCGCCCAACGCCGTCCTCCCCGCCTGGCGCACCACCGCCGTCCAGCTGCAGCTCATCACGCGGTGGGACTCGGCGCCGGAGGCCTGGCCGCGCATGCTGGCGGACCAGGAGTGGATTACGAACGAGGTGGTGCCGCAGGTGGAGGCCGTCACGCCGGGCGGGGGGACGTACGTGAATGAGGCGGATTTTCGGCAGCCGCGGTGGAGGGAGGATTTTTTTGGGGGGAATTGGGAGAGGTTGAGCGGGGTGAAGAAGAAGTGGGATGCGGGGGGGGTGTTGTATGCGTTGAGGAGGGGAGACAATGAGGGGAGGAGGGTGGGGGGAAATGGAGGATCGCGTTAAAGTTTATAGGTAGGGTATCTTTCGGAGCGGGTTTATGG